CAAGCGCGACTCCAATGTCCGCTGGTGGCACGCTCTTCAGGGACCTCTTCTGTTCAAGCGTCCCGCCCAAGACAACGCCGACGCTGCGGTTGTTCCCGACTACGCTGTCGTACAGGAAGATGATGAGATCACCCTCGAGCACAACAATAGCGACTCTGAGATCGGCACTGGCGCTGAGAAGGGTACCGTCGTTCAGGAGCAGCGCCAGCTTACTTATAAGGAGCTTGTTCAGCAAGGTGAGGATCGCTTCCACGCCAAGCTTAGGGCTAAGACTGGACCTCTCGCCTGGGCTATGCGCTACCTCCACGAGAACAAGATCGAGAGCGGTGAAATCTATGAGAGGAAAAACATGATCATCACCCTCAAGCGCATTCCTGCCCAGCTCGTCGTCGGTGCTCTCTACGGTGTCAACTACGACATCCACGCTGCTCAGACTGGTATCCACGGCACTCCCGAAGGAAAGCGTATGGAGCGTGTCTACGGCCACGCCAAGAAGTATCCCAACGAGGTCGAGCACACCTACTCTTTCGTCCAAGTCATCACTGCCTGCACTGCCTCTTTCGCTCACGGTGCCAACGATATCGGTAACGCCGTCGGTCCCTGGGCTGTCATCTACAGCGCCTGGAACACTGGCGAGGCTTCCCGCTCCAAGGCTCCCGTCCCCATCTGGCAACTCGCTGTCCTTTCCGCCACTCTGTCTCTCGGTCTCATCACCTACGGTTACAACATCATGAAGGTCATGGGTAACAAGATCACTTACCACTCCCCTAGCAGAGGTATGTTTCTTCCCCAACAACACTCACCTTTCTTTCGCATCCTTTTACTAACTCGCCCCAGGTTGCTCCATGGAAATGGGTGCCGCTCTTACCGTCCTCATCTTCTCGCAATACTCGCTCCCCGTCTCGACCTCCATGTGCATCACTGGCGCTACCGTCGGTGTCGGTCTCTGCAACGGTACTTACAAGGCTGTTAACTGGCAGCGTGTTGGTCTCCTTGTCTTCTCCTGGATCATGACCATTCCTATTGCCGGTACCATTGGTGGTCTTTCCATGGGTATTGTCCTTAATGCTCCTCACTTTACTTCTTAATATGTTACGCCTCGCCCTTTTGAGGGAAGGATGATTTTTACTTGTCATGATACGCATGGGTGTATAGTACTAGAACGAAAGTGCTCTTTGAATTTATCAGTTGGATAGACATTGTTTGCTGTATTGATTGCTTGAATGAATACCTTTTCCTGATGTGGGAACACTCGCGGGAGTGTGAAGATTAATGGCAAGCATTGTCTATAAAAGTAAATTTTAAGTCTCTGGAAAATACTCTGAATAAGAATGTTATGCAAGGAAAATGGTTATAGTATGAGCTTTAGCCCTGAGACTCAATAAAGATTAGTGCATAGTCAAAGGAAATAATACCAAAATGAGCTCGGTAAGCAAGTTTTTATCTGTTGCGATAAATGTGTATATGCACTTGGGTACGTGCGTGTGGATGTTCTGGAATAGTATTTCAGTGGTATCTTGTAGCTTCGTTTCGCAGATACAGTGGCATGTATTTACTTTACGCCCATTGCACAAGTAGACAACGCTTTTTCTCTCATATGCGATTACATTACTTCTCACATACACACTCAACTACATTATCAGTCTTTTTTTGATATTTGACCCGGCAGGTTGGGTGTGTGACGTATCATTCTTTTCCGAGAAGAAGAAGAAGAAGAAGTCTAATTCGCTTTACGCTAAACAAATATAAACATTTCACGTCACAATCACATTACGTTTTCCTCCCACCAAGAGACACAAACACTACAGTTACCTCTCCCCAATCTCGATATTCTCATACGCCGCCAACCCCTTCCCCCTGTACGAATTTCCGGCATTCGACGACGATCCAAACGTCTGCTTGCTGCCTTGTTGCTGAGCTGCATCATCTGGGTTATACCAGATACCAATGATGCGCTTGGCAAGGTAGTGAATTTGCGGGAAACATGTTATGGCGATGCTGAGGAAGGCTTCGATGGCGGACCATTTTACGACGGGGACGTTGGACCCTGTTGGTATGTTAATGGTTTGAAGGGAGGGTTTGGGGGAAAAAGGAAGGGACAAACAGGATCTGTTGTAGGAAAAGTCGGATTGGAGGAGGATTGCTATTCTGGTTACGGATATACCTGTTATACTAGGGTTTTTTTGTTAGATACGTGTTGTGAATTGAAGATATACGGGAAAGGAGTTGGATGGGATAATTTTGGAGGGGGGCTTACAGGAAACCGACGCAGAAAACGACTAAAACACCTAGTTTTCTCTGCCATGTGATTTTCAATTGAAGTAATCTAGGGATGGGCAGCACTGTGATGATACCGTCCATGATGACGTTTGTGATGTTGAAGGCGTAGTTGAGGTTGTTGCGTTGGACGCTGCAGATTGGGTTTTCGGGTTGGGATATCAGAGTGCCTTGCCACTGTTGCCAGACGAAAGAGATTGGGAGGCATTGGAGGAGATGGGCGAGGAATATGGAAATCAATAGGCATGTGCATATTCCGATGAAGAGGTAGGATAGTTGGTGGACTCGGCCTATTGGGAAGACTCGGAGGTAAAAGGCTAGAACGGTGATTTTGGTCATGAATGTGAGCGTGACGTAGCCCAGCTCCTGGAAAGTGTAGTACTGTTTGGGTCAGCTTGGTTATCTGTTTGCTCGGAGGAAGCTCATACTTTGACCACGTCAGTAACCTTGTGAGGTTTGAGTATCCAGGTATCTTGGCCTAGGCCTGAGTCGAGCGCCAAGAGGATAACTGCAAGATAGGCCGCAGCAATTGGCTGTATTGGCATCAGTGTTGTAATTCGAAGCGTACAGTCAAGGTATACGGACCACAAGTGCTGCTGCAAGCCAATCGTCAATGCCCCACGCAACAGAGAGAGGTGGTAAGCGTGTGATGAATCGTAGTATCAGGGCTACAAGAGCGATAGAAGCTACAGCAATCACTTCCTTAAATAGTGGGGCTGACTGGTTTCGGATCGGAGAATTGCATGTGGAATGGAACATGTAAAGTCCCTCTGTCACTTTCGTTAGCATGACTGTTTCGATAGAGAGGACTGTGAACCAAACAAACCATAATAGCCAAGGACTGGGCAGAACCACGCCAGACATGTATCAAGGCCCTGTGCAATATCTGGATTTGGGCAGAAACACGAGGGGTCAAGAGGATCGCATCCAGTCGCTTCAAGATACCCGAGCGTGCATGCTTTCTAGGTGACGTCAATGTCAGCTTGGAATGGAAAGAACACAGGCCTCGTTGGCTGACTGCAAGGGCAAAAGGTTATAGTGTAAGCATACCGCGCACTGAGGAATTTCATCGAATACACCACCGACAGTGACATTCAAAAACCACCTCTGGCGAAAGCCATCGTCTCCTGGACTTTGTGCCTGTACACTGTAGATGCTTGTTGCCAAAGCAATAGCCAAAGCAAACAATCGCATCTTTCCCCCAAGTATCCAACGACGACAACCGCACACTACAAGAGACGCAAATGCTTTTCAAGTCCGTGCTTTGATGAGCGAAAGCTTTGCACCCAGATCAAGTAGAAAAGAAAAGGAAAAAAACAAGGTCGGCAAATAATATATTCGACCCACAAAAAACTTGCAAAAAGTGACGAAGACAAGGAAGGATACCCGGACAAAAAGGGTTTTAACAGTTTGCCTCTAGGGATAAAAATTAAGAAAAAAAGATGCTAAATGGAATATCTTTTTGCCCCAAAACAGTGCTAAAAAAGATGAAACTTGCAGGGCTCCTCGCCAACAACTTTAGCGGCCTCGGCCTTCCCCCATTACCTCTGGGCCCCTCTCCCCTTTATTTTGCTTAAAACCCAAAGCGAAAAAAGAACATAACTAGACAAGTAGAGGAATGTCATTCTCCGTCCTAGCGTAAATCGGTAACTACTGCTAGATCTTACTGTCAGCACTATGATATTTGGTCCCATGGGGCAGCGCGGGATGTGGTTTTGAGATTCGTGGCTTTATCGGAGGATTGACTGCGGTTTGGGGCCAAGCTTAGACGTTTGGTGGGGAGGGGGAACCATTCACTGCTTCCTTTTCTTTCTAGGAGCCGAGACTGCTCGTTGAACGACTTTATCAAAACGCCTCCAGGGACCATGGCCCGTCCCGGGGTCCGTTTGCTTTTTTTCTTTCTCCGCGATTGCTAATTCGACACATGTTTTTAGCACAACAAGGCTTGAGTCGGCAGTTAGTCGGTTGGCGCGTGCGTCATCCATTAGCTCTGTTTTTAACGTTTGATGAAGAGGTCGTGTACGATAACCCCAAGTTACAGACGCAGTATGGCCAAACGAGATGAATGATTTGTTGAGCGGTGCATAACGTGCATATGTATGTGCGTATGTACGTGACTTGGAGGGGTGTTATTGCATCTTTGTTTTGCGGCAGTCGAGTCTCATGTGGAGACCTGTGAATGCATTGTTTATCGCGCTGACACGAAATGAACATGTATGCTTTTTGTTTCAAGATGCCGTTGATATCGATCGGTGCTCGACTGGGGCACGGCAGAAGCAATCGCAATGGCGGTTAGTGGTCAGCATGGGTACATGGTTCCGCTGCCGTGTTGCTTGTCGTCGTCGTGGTTGTCACAAAAGGATGCATGACAGCCTTAGCACAGCCAGCCATGGACGCGCTTGTGAGATCTGGGCCTGTATTCAAGTATGACTTGTGCTAGCAGATGGGCTGTCATGATCGAGCCCCTGGACTACCACGTGTTGCCCAACGGGAGTCTCCCCAGCCGTGCGCGCCCGTGCCAAGAGCTACTGGGAGCCAAGCACATCACCGCCTGTCCTGATAGCATAGGGCTCAGGGCCAGGATAGCTTCATCAAGAAACATTACCAAGACATTACCAACAGACTAGCCATACTCATTGGCTTGTATCGGTCTTTCGCTGTTTGCTCGGAAATTTCTAAATACTCGCCTTTATATTGCGGTGCTGATCTACCCACTCTTTTACCTACAGTTTACCCCTTCTGCTGTCGACGGCTTGTCTCAGCTTCTTGATCACGTCACCAGGGTCCGCAGCGCCAAAGACAGCGCTGCCCGCAACAATGACATTGGCACCGGCATCGGCAGCCTGGTCAATCGTCTTTTCGCTCAAGCCGCCGTCAACTTCAATGTGCATTTCGGGATACTTTTGTCGAAGAGCGGTCACTTTGGGGAGTTCAGATGCCATAAAGGACTGACCACCAAAACCGGGCTCTACCGTCATGACCAGGACCATCTAGCAACGTCAGTATTTGTGCTTAAAACCATGTGGCACTGCGCGGTGCCATTGTTGATTCGTGAGGTTATTGATCCTGCAGCGGGAACAGCCAGCGGCGCAGGCGGCCGAGGGCTGGTGCATCGAGTTGCAAAGGTTTGCATGCTTAAGCGCCGCCACAGCGTACCGCCGACACCCAAACATTGTCAGCCCTATCAGCCACGGACTGGTCGACCACATTGGCGGCCCGTCTGACCAATATATACCGCGCGCATTCCCATTGTGCTATTGATTCCGGCGGGCGTAAGGGTAGCAGTGCAGGGGACATGAACTCACATCAGGCACCTCTTCCTTGTTTGGGCTGTCCAATATCTCCCACAGTACGTCGACGGGCGTGCTTGGCTTAATGGCAATACCGGCTTGCATGCCCTCGGCATGGATGAACCGAATCAGTTCTTTTGGTGACGTCTTTTGGTCCGACTGTCCACTGGGCGAGTCGGCGGCAGTAGACGACACGGCGGCCTCATAGTGGAAGCAGTAGAGGTCGCAACCGGCCTTCTTGAAGTCGCGGACCCAGCGCTTGGGCTCGGCAATCATCATGTGGCAGTCAAAAGTACCCTTTGCATATGCCGTGGTGGGGCGGTCAACGTGTGAGCGGATCTTTGTGACGACGGGGGCGCCAAATGTCATGTTTGGCACAAAGTGGCCGTCCATGATGTCCACCTGCACGTCGTGTCAGTCGCGGGGTTGGCGAGGCTGCGGCTACGGCTACGGTGCGCATACATGAAGCCAGTCGGCGCCTTGGGCAATTGTGTCTGAGCAAGCCTTGCCCAGCGCTCCAAAGTCGGCGGACAGGATAGAAGGCGCAATGATGGCGGGCGGTGACATGGCTGGTGAGGTGTGTCTGTGAGTGTATTCGCCTTGGGTAATGGCACCAATGGCAGAGAGGGCGCGGTTGGGTCGGGATTCTAGAACAGATATGTAGACTTGTACGTCTGTGCCGTGCCGTGCTGTGCTGTGCTGTGCTGTGCTGTGCTGTGCTGTACCCGGAGCTCACGATAGCTTTTTGGTGTTGTGACGACATGGCCCAGCGTCACGCCTGCCCTGCCCCGCCCGTCAATGCCCCGCCCGCATGCTTGGCACGTCTTCACCGCACAGCAACCACTTGGACACAGCACAACAGCAGCATCCAACGTACATTCTCGCATACGCATGAACTCGCTATTACCTCGCAAACTATATTTCAAGGCTGGCGGTCAGACGGGACGGACTTGGCAGCACGAGATGGGCTGCGCCAGTGGGCGACTATGCTGTCCAAGCAATGCTCGCCTCGCCATTGGCCCGCCGTGCTCAAAGCGAGGGCTGCAAATAGCACAGCCCGGCGCGTAGACAGCAAAACATCCAACCACATCGGACACAACACGGCCTCGCTAACCTCCAACGGCTAGCCTCTGGTAAACACCATCTGCTCGTAGGCGTTGTTGGCCCAATCATGCCCTTCTCCACCATGGTCACCATGTCGTGGCCACTATTGAACCGCCATTGTCTCTCCACTCACTCGCACCGTAGCTCGGACAAATCCAACGAGTAGCCAGCGTCTATCTGCAATATATCCCATCGTCGCCGCGCCCGCGCCGCATTCCCTCTTGCTGTCATTCACTTCTAGCCCTTTTCCGAGCCTCCTTTCCCTCGCAAAGTCTTCGTTGATCGAAGTGTTCCCCAGTTTTTCTAGTAGGCTGTTGACCAGCGCAGTTCAGGGCTATAGCCCAAATTAATATCCCCTTCTCTTCGGCCCCCGGTACTTCGGTATTTGCATCCTTCACACCTACGCCGCAATCCCGCCCCCTCGGATTTCAAAAGTATCTTTAGTAATAATTGCAAGAGGCGGTGCTCACGGCCCCTCCCCCAAAATATCATGATGCCCCAGATGCTCGAGCCTGCAGTATACCATCCTGCGGCCCCCAGCACCAGGGTACCCTCCCACCATGCCTCGTCTCCGCTGGACCAGAGACAGGCACTTAATAATACCACAAACGACGACTGTCCCATCCCCCCTTACTACCTTGCTCGACACTCAACCTCTTCGCCATTCCAGACCAGTCCAACATCGCCATCCATCATCGACGACTTCCCTACCCCCAAGGCTCGCCTGTTCTACATGTCTCAACAGTCATCACCGCCCTTGCCTACCCACTCGGCAACGTTCCCGCCACCGAGCCGGCAGAGCCGTACAGACAGTGACTTCGACTCCTTGTACGACATCACTGATGATGAAGCCGAGGTGCCTCTCCACGCATCAGCATCAGTCAAGAAGCTTGCAACACAGCCAAGGAGAAGACGCTACCCATCTATTGTCATCCCCTCCCCATCTGCTTGGCCAACTATTGAGAAGTTGAAGAGTGCCAACTCGGCCATGCCCGTCACTCCCTCATTGATGCTCACTCCTTCACGCCGTTTCCTCGACATGATCAACTCTCATAATCTGCAGGTGCCAGAGCACTCAGCCGCCCCGTCCTTGGATGGCAGCCTCACATCAGAAGAGATGGACAGGCTCAGCTGCCCAGCTACTCCAATATCACAGCGCAGGTGTGGATCCCCCTCAAGCTCCGACTCCTGGGGTCCTGTCCAACTCGACCTTCAAGCCATGGAGACGCTCCAGCACCTTAGCAACTCACCTTCCACTGAACAGCACGACGCGTCAAGGCAACAAGAGCCAGGAACAGGCGTGACAGGAGGTGAGATGCGCGAAGTTTCTCGGCCTAGTCTCGGCCTCAACATCCCCTCTGCCTTTTTCGGAAATGGATCCTCTGGTAGTACTCCCATCTCTGCCCTCTCAGTCCCATCGCCAGGCGGCTTCTTCTCTTCACTGCAATCGACCGCTCGTCACACATGGAGCATTCCTAAGCGACAGGATTCTATCCCAAACACTTCCACTGCTGAGAAGTTTTACAATCTTCCATGGGAGAGGGAGAGCCGCAGAAATACCTCTCCACACCCCGGGCCAGCGGTACCGGCTCCTCCACGCCGAAACTCTACTCTACAAGGATCCACCCTTGATGGTTTTGACGAGCCTTTGCCAACATCACGACCGGTCGTTCTCAGCCCGACTGACGAAAATGTTGAGATTAAGGAGATCAATCCTAGCAAGACGGTGTTCCAGTATAATGAGAACTATAACGCTGAGCTCCAAAAAGCATCTTCTGCGAATCTTGAAATGACGGGTCGGTGGTTGGAGGAACAAGATGAGCTACAGGCTGCGCTCCGCGATATCAACGACATCAGCTCGCCCAGCCTCTCCAGCGGAACTCACAGCCGCGGCAACTCACTCGACAAGGCTGTGGTCAAGAAATCGGTCAAGTTTGCTGATGAGCCGGCCAAGTCTCCAGTGAAAGAGTCGGCTACTGAGCTTGTGACAACTTACGTGCAAGGCCTTGAGTACCTCCGCTCTCGTTGCCAGAAGAAGGATACGTTTATCCACCGTCAGACACGCGCTGAGGCTCTGCATGTGCAGCGTCGCTGCAGTCCATTGGCGCACCGTGATCAGCTTCTGGGCAAGTTTGAGCTCAACCAGCCGGATCGCCCAGCACCACCACGACCAGTATCTGAATTCTTTGTCAACGACCCGACTGTTTTGAAGGAGAGAATTGCACGGGCGCAGATGGAACGCCAAGCGCTCGACCAGATGCTGCCTATCCACTGGGTTCTGCAGGCCCAAAAACAACTCAATGGAGGAAGGTTGCTGAGCAAGGCTGCTGCACGACGGGTTACGCGTGCCAGTGCACCTCGCATTCTCGACATTGGCGGCGTTGCGACCAACGACTGGGCATGGGACGTTGCCTACGATTTCCCATACGCCACCGTGATTACGGTTTACACAGAAGGCAACAACATGTCTTCGAATGTCAAGGGCCCAAGCAACCACAAGCACATGACCGTCCCCAACTTGTGGACTCTTCCCTTTCCCTCGGGCCACTTTGATGTCATCTCGGCGCGCACCCTGTACGAGCTTCTCAAGACCAGGAAGCCCATGGGCAGGTCGTCGGACGAGTACGACTTGTGCCTGAAGGAGTGCTACCGATGCCTGAAGCCCGGAGGCATCCTCGACTACTCACTCATGGACGCAGATGTGGTACACGCAGGCCGCAACGCGCAAGCCATGGGCGTCGAGTTTGGCTTCAACCTCAAGACACGCGGCTATGATGCGCAGCCCACAAAGGCTTTTCTCCCGCGCATCTCCAAAGCTGGATTCAAGGAAGTGCAAAGAGCTTGGATGTTTCTGCCCATGGGCAAGACGGCCGCCAACTGGCGCGATACGCTTGCGGTTGGAGCTGAGCCGAAGCACCAAGAACGTAGGATTGCAGAGGATGGTAGTATTGAGGTTGAGGATGCGCCAGTACTCGGCACGACTATTGATGCTGCGATGCTGACTGGTATTGTCGGTAGCTGGGCGTGGGAGAGGTGGCTGTTGAGATTGCAGATGGAGATGGGCAAGGATGAGGACAAGTTGCTTGAGGGTGTAGTCAATGTGCTGGAAGAAGGCGCACAGGGCCACTCTGGATGGAGGACCTTGACTGGTTGGGCGAGGAAGTAAGTGATTTTTAGATTTACTGGGTTTTGAATAAGAGAGAGGGACGTATGAAATGATGTCTATGATAGGATCTGGCAAAGATATTTTGGAGTTGGGTAAGGGTTGTTGGCTGGACACGACAAAGGATTGATACCACATTGACTTTTCTTTTTCTTTTGTAAATCACTCATTTTTCCTATGTTAGACCGATTATTTTCTCTTTTGTAAATAAATTGATAAAAAGCAACACTATATCAAGATACATAAGACTCTGTGAAGTTTGCAGTGAAAACGTGTGTTGTTCTGGAAGTGAGTGGTAGCAGTTGAACCCAACCTGGTTTTCGTCTCTTTTACCTCGACGTTGGCTGGCGGGCACCCCACGCGGCCCCTGCGCAACCTTCCGTCACTCCGCCCGCCATCCAACACCAAAAGTCGCGACAACAACGACACGCCTTGCCATACCCACCCCGCCGCCACCGCACCGTACCCGCATCTACATCAACTCCCGGCTGCGCCTTTCGCCAACCATGTTATTCTTCAGGTCCGTCATTCTTCCTGCCCCGCTCGCCCTCGTCTCCTCTCGAGAACCACCACAAACCACAAACGTCACCTTCACTCCATACTAACACAAATACCACAGCTTCTTCAAAACCCTCGTGGAGCATGAAATCACAGTAGAACTCAAAAATGAAGTGCAGATCCGCGGGACGCTCAAGAGCGTAGATCAGTACTTGAATATTAAGCTGGACAATGCCGAGGCGGTGGATGAGCTGAGGTGGCCGCATTTGGTGCGTTTTTACCCTCCTTCTTCCTCTTTCTTTACTTTGGAGTGCGAAACATCACATTTGGGCAACAACAAAAAAAAGTGGGAAGCGGTGAAGCTAAGGAGGAAGGAGGGATTGGGGGAATTAGGAAAAGGGAAAAGGAAGATGAAGGCTAATGAGAAAGTAGTGCTCAACCAAGGACATGTTCATTCGCGGTTCCGTTGTACGCTACGTACATCTACCTTCGGGCGCGGTCGATACAGCGTTATTGGAGGACGCGACGAGGAGGGAGGCGGAGGCGGCGAAAAACAAGGCGAAGTGAGGGGTGGGCTGTACACAAAGGGAAGATGAAGAAGAGGAATGTGGGATTGAGAGAGAGAGAGAGAGAGAAAGAGAAAGGGGATATGGGATGTCTGGAGTGCACAGTATGAATGTGGAATCGGTCGGGAAACAAATGGCATTTACGAGGGCAATGAGGAAATAGGGCGTAAGGAATTGTGGTATACCCATTTGAACCAAACGAGAGGAAAAAGAAACTAAAAGAAGAGGAACCATCATCCGGTCAAAAATCCTGGGGGACATGAAAGTAATCCAGTTCGTCGTGACCATGCATCAAAATAAAAACATAACACCATCAGACCCGCGGCTTCACAAAAAAATCAAACTTACACAAACAATCCCATAAACACGCCCACTCCCAGCCGCCCAGACCCCCGTTTCAAACCGGCCCTTTTTCTTCTTCTTACTCTTTTCCTCATATCTCATAAAACCTCGCTTAGAGAGAAACAGAGAAAGGGAACGGGACAAAATGGCAAGATGAACATGTTTTGGGTTTCCAAAAAGGGTGCACACACACACACATATGGTTTTCATACAAGCGAACCATGTGTGAAAAGTAAGCACGGCAGTTGAGAGAGGCAGGGAGGCAGGGCAGGCGGGCAGGCTTTTGGCCAAATTACACACGTGCATGCCAGTTCATGGGGAACCAAAAAAAAACAGAACCGGGGCAAGTTTGAAACAAGCACGTTTGTATGAAGCCGTTTGACCCCCTTGTAAGCGTAGGCATTAAAATGTACCTAATAGCACCGCCCTTGCATCCGATGGAGATTAACCAATTGATGCCCGGGTCGTTTTTTGTCTTTGACCTCCCTCTTTGCCCTTGATACCAGAGACATAATAATCATGACCATTCACCATTATCTAAGCGCAATGGGCCCCCTCCCGATGATCCTATCCTGCCTTGATTTCTTTTCGCCCACCACCCATCCCCCCTTGGAAAGTCGAAGGACGCGGTTAATATGACTTGTATATTATAGAAAAGCGATCCACTCTTAACAGCCCATACCCAAAGTGGGCGCGCAAACGAGGACTGTTTTGCGAAAGAGAAAGAAAGAAAAGGGGGGGGGTATAATAGCCAGGACTAACTATTCCTACAGCCGGACGAAAAACAAAGCCCAGCATTGTGGCAAATGAACTTCCCCGCTTTTCAATCGTTCGATTTGTGGATGTAGGATGTGGAAAATGATACGAGGTCTTGTTCAATAACTCTAGGAGAGAATTGGGACAAAAACACAATGCCCTCCTGTGGACGGGCAATGATCAGCGCAAGGGACGTTGTTCAAAACAGATTACGCGTACGGCCGTTTACGAGGCTGACAGGAATAAGCTCTTATTGCTGATTGCAAAAAAGCGTTACCGATAGTTTGGAATCGATACTTGGCATTAGGCAACGTGTGGTTCGAGGGCACAAGCTTGTTTGCCATGAGGAAGAGAGATGGAAGGATGGGGGGACGGATGATATCCTGGTCAAGGCAAGTAATAGAAGGGAACCTCAAGCGCGCCGAAAAGTTGGCAGTTTGGTTTGCTTGGCGAACATGTGGCACATGCATGTGAAGGTGTGTTGAAGGGGAAGGGGGGCGGGGGGGGGGGAAGAAAAGGGCCTCGGCGCGCATTTACTCGCACGTGGAAAGCATCTTCTTGAGCACACCCATGAGGGTGCCGTTTTCAAGGGCAGCGGCAACGCGCTCCTTGTCGCCGAGCTGTTTGTTTACCTGCTCGTCTGTGCTGTGAGTGCCCTTCTTTATGCGGACATCGACGCGAAAGCGCGGGGGCAGTGCCTGCTCCAGACGTACACGCACGCCTAGGCCGATGACGGTGGCCAGCGAGCAGTGGGTAATGGTCGGGGTGATTTCGACGATGACGGTGCTGATGTTGGACAGAGGAGAGGCAGGGGGCAGGATGTGGATGTCGGGTAGGTTGACGACGGAGAGGGAGCCAAGGGACAGCGGATGCTCAGGGTCGCAGATGGTGGAAATGAGGTCTTTCATGCGTGGGGTCAGTCAGGTACAGGTAGGTAATGACGCAAGCAGGGACAGGAGAAAAAAACTGACCATAGATTTCCTGTTCGTCAATGGGGTCGTCATGTGTGTCGTCGCTGTCCGAGTCGGCTGGCGAAACAGGGTCGTCCAGGGGGTCGACGAGATATGTGTAGCGGGGGATCAGGTCGTCAAACAAGCCAGAGCCGGGGTGGTGCTGCCTCTTACCGGCTGCATCGCTACGGCGCGAGGGCAGATCCGACGGGTTCAGGATGGTGGGGTTGGCGTTGTCCTTGTCGAGCTCCATGGCGCTGCTTTGTGCGGGGGGAGGAAGGGGCGTGGCGGTGGTGGTGGTGGCTGCTTATGTTGGAGCGAGCGTGGTGATGGCGATGGCGATGGCGATGGCGATGTCGATGGCGATGGTGGCGGTTGTGGTTGTGGTTGGTGCAGCCCCTCCATTGCACCGGCCATCGTCATTCGGCATATTGGAGCATGTGGGCAGCAGCAGCATGGCCCTGCTTGCCGCACGCCCGCTTGCCTGCACCTGCTTAGCAATTGCTTTGTTACACGCATACATGGCCATGCAGTACGTAACTATCTGTGTAAACGTCTATGGATGCACATAGTAGACCTTGTAAGTATCTATGTTTCCAATCTCCCGCAGATTACCCGCGAGCAGGATGGATGGATGGATGGATGCAGGGGAGAGAAGTGTGGGGTGGTGCACCGTTTGACTAGTGTCTGCGCATATCAAGTGGGCGTTGTTTTGTCCTTTCCAGGTTATGGCCTGGCGGCTGTAGGTAGAGAGACACACACTTTCATACACCCCCCCCTTCTCCCTACGTGCGTATCGAGTCTACGTGCGTATGGTGCAGTAGGTTGGCAGCCGTGTACACTAAAGTATACCGCTCGTCGAGATGACGGGCCCCCACCGGCGAGCATCGGCAAGAGCCGACGTCGTGGCCCCGCCGGGTCAAGGTTCAAGGCGACGAGGACCGAGGATGAGGACGAGGACGGGCGGCGGTGAATTGCTCGGTCGCCTCCCGGACCACGGTTGACCCAAATCAAAGGGTTTCTCGTCGTGTTTCCAGAGGCGTGGCCTGAGACCGAGACAATCTGAGTCTCTCGTGTTGCTGCTGTCGGCTCCTCCCGCACTCTGGCGGAAATGCTTCCCAATGCGGTAGACGGTCAATCACAGGGCTGGTCGAGTACCACGGCGTGTTCCTGAGCGGCAGGGAGATCAACGCCAGAGATCAGCGCCGCCCCGGGAAGGTCGACAAGACAGGAGTCGTGGTAGCATTAGCATTAGCATTATTAGCAGCAAACAAAACGGGAGGGCTATCGCTGCGGTGCCATGCCATGGCTGCGGCATTGTTAGCTTTGGATCCAAGGGCCTGCAGCTGCATACGACTGCGACCTGCATTACTACACCTTCGATGCGCCTTCGATGGCTTGCCGGCGGCGCCAGTCGGCCGTGGCCGCCATCACCACCACGACCAGGACGACGAGCACTACGAGCACTACGAGCACTACGAGCACTACGAGCACTACGACGACTGCCACCAGCATCATACCCGCCCACCACCCGCCTGTCAGACGAGCCTCGGCTTGGCAACGCCCGCACTGCAACCCCGTCAGCCAGGCCGCCATGATTCCCGGCGACGATAGACGTACAAGCCCTGGGAACTAGGGTCCCGCGATCCCCCAGCCCCTCCAGCTGTCTTGTCGCGTGCGGCGCAAAAGCACTCGACCCGCCAGTCTGGGTACCGCTCTTGGTCAGCCATGGCCTCTCCTCCCCAGCTGCTGCACCTGGGCCTCTCTGTCTCTCACCCCCCCCCCCCAGTCGACTGTCCGGGGCCTTGTCTGTCTGTCTGTCTATGTGTGGGTGCACGCAACTGCAACTGCAACTGCAACTCTTCTCGTCCTGCCCGCCAGCCCGCCCGCCAGCCCGCCACCAACCAGGCACACGTTGTGGCGGCTCACGGCATGAGGGGCGCCAGGCCCCCCTTCCCCGTGCGGGAGGGAGTGTCGATGCAGATGGTTTGAAGGCCTTCTCGAAGTCTGCTCGGCCGTGTTTCGCTTCGCGGGCGCAATGGTCGTGTTCAGTTCATGCGCTGCCATGCGGTAGGCCTGTCTGCCCATGTGTCTGTCCATGCAGACTAGAGGCCCTCTACCAGGCCCAAGCTGTCTTTCCCCCATGCGGCGTAGCCATGTGGAGGATTATTGTTTTATGCAGGCTGTGCTGATGGTGATGCGTCTGCCGTTAGAACCTTGCAGGCGACTGCGACTACCATGCTTTGGCCCAAATCAATTCGCCGACAAGTGTGGTGCGCGACATCGACGACCGGCTCACCGTACGGCACACGACGGCATCTCGCCAGGCCCAGTGCGCCCGAGGGCTCCTGGCCGGCTGCTCATCGAGTGAGTGCCCATGGAGATGGCACCGATCCTGAGGGCCCATGAGCAAGGCAAGGCAAGGCAACGAAGCGACTGTCGGTACACGGCCCTATGCCACTCTCGGAATAGTGCCATGTCACTGTCGCCCTGTCTGTGGAAAGACGGACGTTTCGCTTGAGCTCCTGACAAGACGCTGCCAGACTGCTAACACGACGCCAAATGCTCGTACCCCTTTCTAGCCGGCTAGTACCACCACCACTACTAATTACTACTCTGACCGCACCGCCTCTAGTATGATGATGGTCCCCCCAGCTAGGCCCAAGTCCTCGTCATCGATGCCAATCTCTCGCTCCCTCGCTCGGTGCTGCAGCAGAGACCCACCCGCCTGCTTTGCCATGGCACCAGCAATGTCCTGGGGGTGAGATGAGCATTTCAGGCTTGCTCTCAGGCACCACCCGCAGCAGCACCAGCAGCACCAGCTCCAGCCCAGCCAGAGAGACCAATCTTCGATTCGACCACATGCATGCGCAGCCTCTCTGCCTTAATCCCCCCCCAGTCGTATCATGTCATGCACGCTGCTAGCCATGTGTACAATCCAAGTCGTCGATGGTCGTCAAGTGGTCGGGACCCTAATGTACTTTTTCTAGGCAGTCTATCCACCGGATCCGTCCCGCCACCAGCAGCCTCTTCATCTTGGGGCACAAGCGTACGCGGACAGCCGGAAAGATTTTTGCCTTTTCGCCCGTGGTTTGCTGGACATGAGCGGCACCTGTCCCTGTATGTGTGTGTGTGTGTGTGTGTGTGTGTGTGTGCCTGTGTTGCGAGGGCGTCTGTGCCTAGCATTCGCCCGTGTGTGTGCGACAGCCTTCTTGCTTTGCTCATTCATCATCAGCTGTCAGACTCTGCCCTGCCCTGCCCTGCCCTGTCTTGCCCCCCGCTGCTTTTATAGCAGCACCAGTTCCCGGCGGATCGCAAAGCTCAAAAAGGTTCACACTAAATACCCGTCGCTCAACATACGTGATACGATTCAGATAGCAGTAGTATCCAACGGGCGCCGCCACCCCTGCTCCCTATTGCCTCACACCCCCCACAGCACGGCAGTTCCCTGTGTCCGCAGCATCTGGGCAGCGGACGCTTGCGCTCACGCGCCTGCAGCTTGGGCGCCCACACAGCGACGCTATTAGTGCGGTGCGGCTCCTGGATCCTGCACGTCGCATACCACCTACCCCTCGTCCACCTGTTTAACCCCTTCATACACGGCGAACCACTTGGGGACCACAATACCTCGAGCCTTTCAGGAGATCCATACACGACAACGCCACCATTGCGCGCGTGAGCCACGCTGCGAGCCCGCTGCCAGTGCGTCGTCGAAACCCTGGCATGCCAGACATCGTCTCCACCTGCCCTCCCTATGCGCCTGTTGCTGCTGCTGCTGCTCCTGCTGCCCTGATCTGCCGTATAACCTAACCACGCCCGCGGCACTGCGGAGATTTCGCGAGCGCTATACCATCGTCAGTCACCAACCTGCACCGTCTTGCTCGTGTCTTTTGGCGGTTTAGTTTCTGCCTCATTCTGCGCAAGGCCCTCTTCTGTCCGCCAGCAACAATCTGTCACATTCTGGACCTGCCCACACCCCCTCCCGTCACCCCGACCTTCTATTGGCCCACCGCCCACGACTGCACACAACCTCACCACCTTGGTGGAGATCCCACGACCCCGCTGCCCGCAAACCACCGCGCCAGCTTCCGCGCTTCCACTCGGCTCTGCCCTGGCCTTGACTAGGAAACACAATGGCCCCAGAGACAACTGGACGCCCATTACTACCTCAAACCGCCCAAATGCAGAGCTTCACTTTTGCGCCGCCCACGCTGGCGCCGCGCGAGAACCAGCGCAGTAAGTTCACACGCACATACACACTCACACCGCCCCCATGTGCTGGGTCGCAGAAGAAGCAACTGACATGACCCATGTAGACTATGTGTTCGTAGACGAGCACAACAGACACAAGCGCTTGAAAGGTGTGATATCCCATCGCCTCACCCGCCCGCCCCGTGTTGCTCGCGCTCGCCGAGAATGGCATGCGCATGCTAACGTGATGCAGTAATGAGAGCATGCGAAGGCTGCCGTAGACGTAAGATCAAATGCGATGCCGCCACGACGAATGCATGGCCTTGCGCTGCCTGCATCCGCCTGAAACTCAACTGTGTACCACCAACCGTCAGCTACGACAAGGACTACAACGGTTCCCAGACCTTTGATCTGGAACCCAAGCCGTTGGAGTATGCTTCGGATGTGCCTTCCCAACATGAATTTCAGCGGCAACCATCCATGACCCAGGCCATGCCTCACCAAATGCCGCTGTCCATGGCCGGTGCTGCCCAAGGCATGTATCAGCCTTCGCCCTATGTGGACCAACAGTCGCAAGACCAATGTCACTATCAGCCCTTGTCGCAGCCTCAGGTAGTCCAGCAAACAATGGGCTATGCTCCCCAACAACCCTACCCACAAGCATCATCCGCACCACCAACCATCTTGACCCCACCCGAGTCGGAACCTCACTGGCGGAGTGATTCGGCTTCGAGCTTGTCGGAAGCTCTCGGCGAACTCAAGATAGATCACACTGCTGTTGGTAGGTTGCATCAAAGCCGTTTGCAAAAGCACGATCCCCCAAGCTGACAAAACACAGCACCCTACATCACAAACATGAAGAAGGCTTTGGCCGAAACACCAGCCCAAGAGGAATATGAGGTACAATTACCACAATCGGTCAGCCTGGACCATACCGTCCGCATACCACCAGAAATGATGCCTTCGGATGAGCAGGCTTTACAGTATTTCGACTATTTCTTCACCAACGTACACCCCTATTGCCCGGTCATCAACAAGGCCTACTTCTACCAGCAGTGGCACAGTGCGCCAGATTCAATCTCGCCTCTTATGCTCGAGGCCATCTTTGCCTGCGCTACATTGATGCTCGGAGACGTGGATGAAGGCAACAAGTGGCTAGCGCTTGCAACGAGTCAGTGATCTTCTGTTTTATTACTGACTCGCTTTACTGACTATAATCATAGGGCACGAAGAAAGTTTTAGGGACGTATCGCGACTCAGCACAATGCAAGCCATGACTCTTCTTCTCAAGGCTCGCGAAGCATCGCCAAAGCGCGGGTACTTTTGGCGCTCTTGGATGGCTACCGTCAGCCTTGTGGCAATGGCAAAAGACTTGGAGTTACACGAGCATTACGACATTCATCAAATGGGAAAGTCGTGTGGCTCAACACCGCACGACTGTGTTGCAAAGACGAGGGTGTGGCAGATGTGCATGGTTTTTGAGGTGATGATTGGCGGTCCGCAAGGTAGGCGACCTGTTTCAATTACGCGACTCAGAATACTAACGCGATCGTCACAGGTCGCTACGATTTTGGTGTTGATATTGACACTGTTGATTTGGAAATGCCCAGGTCAGTTGCTGGACTGGATCCTGCGGAGGTCCAAATCGCGCGTCAGTTTATCCAGTTTTGTCGCATCGCCAAAAACGTCTATCATTCGGCCTCGATATTCAAAAAGCTAAGGAACAAGACACCGGACTGGCCATTGGACCCTTCTTTCGTGGCCCACAATACCGACTTTTCCATTTGGCTTCGAGAACTGCCGGAGGATATGCAGCTTGTCTACCCCCAGGATGGTTCAGCTCCCTGGATCCCGTCTCACCAGATTGCCAACATGCACAGCTATCAATACCTGGCCACCGTAATGCACTTCCGACCTCAATTGCATGCCGTGTCTGACTCGTATGACGGCATATGGAAACAACATATGCTCACGTGTTACTCAGCTGCCAAAAGTCTATGCAAGCTACAGGAGGCTATCCTCAAAACTTACGGCATGCCTGGTCTGTTGTGCGCGGTGCGAGGCATCAGCTTCCACATCTATGCCCTGCTCACTTGCACCATGCTTCATCTAGTAAGTTGCCTATTTACAACTCTCGTACGCGCTCACTAACAGTGATAGGTGGCCGTGACCTGCCCTGACCCAGACATCAACCACGACGCCAGAGAATTTTTCGTGAGGCACATGCGCGTTCTGGAGACCATGTCACCTTCGTTCCCAATGCCCGAGATGCAACAGCAAATCAACAGCCTTCGCCAAGCTTTCTCGGCTGACTGCTCCAAGCCATTTGAGCTGAAACCATCGTTTCCCTTTGGAAGTCCTCAGGTGGCCCCGCAAACGAGCCCCATGAGCCACCAAGGCTCTTACCGGTCTCGTCACGCAAGCCATTCATCGCCGATGGAACAACCAGGTCAGGTCAACTACCATGCACATCCCATTACTCCACCAATCTCGGCATCCGACCACGGATCAAAGGCTGACTCTCCAGTAGCCCAGTCTTTGGTCATGATGGCATCGGGTCAACGTGCGCCTCAGTCCGCATCTAACTTGCAAATGCCGGACAATGTTCAATGGAATCCACAACGCATATTTGAGTGAGTTATCCTGTATCACCAAGGAGCTTGTGCGCCATACTAACGTGTTGCAGTCAATGGAATGTTGCCTTTGGTACGCCCCCTCCTACTAGCGCCTCTTCCCAGTCTTCCCCGCCGCTAAGACCCACTCCTTCAGGAACCAGCTACGACATACGGCAGGCGCAGGAAGCCATGCAACCCAACTACCAGATGGCCAACACCTCTCCCCAGTCCAGCCATATTCATGCCGCGTCTGGTCAGATGCCTCCATCGTCAACTTATAGCAATCCTGCGCCCGTTTACGTCACTCCAACCATGTGGCAGGAGGCCGTCACAAGTTCTTTACCAGATGGCCTTAAGCGCAGGTGGGATGGCAACTCTATGCCAGACCAATCCATGTACAAACGATCGCGTTGATACGACAGAAGAGGATGTGACACATCACATTACTTGCACCAGGACCTATCAGAGGAGCTTCATGAGAGCAAAACAGGCTCAAGGGTACAGCAAACTACGTATGGACACGGCTAAGAGATTCGATGCTGGATTTTCCCTACAGAAGAACAAAAAACCAGGAGGAAGATAGATTTGTTGCACGTGTTAACTGTCGATTACACATTCCCTCAAGACTGCTGTGCGGTCCCACGGGTATCGTTTTCTGTCCCAAAAGCGGTTTCAGACAGCCATCTTGGCTTCGCTACCAGCCACTCTATTGGATTGCGAATAACAGCCGAAGCACACTATGCACACCACGACACAAGCGCGGATGTACGATATATTGACCTTGCACCATACGCAAGCACGACTGGAATAATGAATAAGCAGCGCTATTGGCAGAATTTAGCGTATTGCTCTTACTGTAACACTAAGTACACTGGCTAGACAAAAAAAACTTTCAAGTTGTCGCTACATTTACACGGACCTTCCTCATTCATTCGGGTTACTTTGTGTGATATCCACTTGTCGCATGGGCCCATACTTATGGGGGCATTGCGATAACCTCAACAATATGACGGCTCAGTTCCTGAAGCATTCGGGCCTGGCGGGTGGTGTCCCACGGACTTGTAGCAGGCTGGAACTCCGTCAAGATTGATACTTGGATCAATTGGTGTCCCATACGCTCTCTCCACTTGATCCTTCTTGTTTTGTTGCAGGATGCAAGCAAAGCCGTCTTAGCTACCAGCTTGGACAGGTAACAAAAATCATGAGTTTCCATGTAGACACATGCGTCATACGCCATTGTTTGTTCCGGCCACTACCATATTGCTCGGTTGGCGAAGCCAGACGGCCGAACATCTGCTTTGCGCCAACGCGCCAATCAGAAGGCTACATGTGGGGTGCAGCAGCATGGTGGCTGGCCTGAACTTTCCAACCTCCTTTCAGTCCTATTGTGGAAGGAGTCTAGCTGCTGTCGAAGTCACGTCTGATAGGTCAATATGAAGTTGGAAATTTGACGACCATTGGACAGTCGGACCGCTATTCATTGCACGTTGCCACGAAACCCTGGCCTGGGCAGTACCAGCAATCAAATCCGTGGGCCTGTTGAACCAGGTTTCGCAGTTCTAGGCAATATCGAGCACACCCACAAGGCTGGGAAAGATCCCGAGGCTCAACGGTCTAGCGTCGATGTCTGTGGCAGGAATTCGGCATGTGAAATCGTTGCTACGCACTGACTGGTAGTCGACAGCGTCACCCTTGCAACCAGGGCCCTCTGGGCTAGTTGACACGGACCGCCTTCGTAATGTGGAGAAGAAGGCGCTAAGGAATCAAAAGGATCAATCTCGACATGGGAGGGACGGGTGGTAGTCAGCGTACGCTACTGCAGCGTATCACTGTACATGTACATGTGGTGTACGTGTGAGCATGCGGTTATCAAACCTAATACACGCAAAAGTTACATCGGCAAATGCAGCTAGCTAGCAAACAGCAAAACTCGCCCATGCGCTTCCCTTCCCCCACTTATCGCACCAAAGGTTATGCATTTCTATTACCCTTCTCTCCCCCACAGATTGTTGCTGCCTCTTTGCAGGCACGCGCAGGCGCCCAGAAGGACCATACTCAATTCGCAAACCTTAGTCCTTCTTTCCTTTCTTCCTTCCTTTTCTATAATCCCAGCAATCTGCAACTACCCCTCCTCATCCTCGTCAACCTCATCCTCCTTCTTCTCCACACCCCTTGACCCCTGGTTTCATCGCTCCTTTAACGAGGGACTAGACTTATACCCACATTTTTTTTGGCTCTTCCTCTCGTCCTGAACAACCCCACCGATAGCAATCACACTCGCTTTGGTCCACACCGACCACTCCCATGGACAAGCGCGCTCGACTCGTCCGTACATTCTGTGCATGTGCATTGAGTCAGGTAGGCTTGGCACAAGAGTGGAGAGGTGTGTGGGTTAGGAGGGTTAGGTTGACTCGATGCCGATCTGGCGATTGCGCGACTATGGTGCTTGGGGGGGGGAGCATCACCCCCGGCCGGACTTACAAAACGCATCATGATCGTCGTTTTCGAGGCAAACAGGATACGAAGGAAGTGGGAAGGGGTGGGTTGATGGGGGGAGGGGCGGCGGCGGCGACGGCGCTGTCGGCTCGTGTGGGAAGCCGCCGGATGGCAAGGCGGCGAGCGGGTCAATTCCATGACTCTCTCTTTGTTTCTCATCACGAGGAGTATGTAAAAAAAAATGGGTAAAATGGGGATATGTTGTATGGATGTACTATATAATACAGAGAGAAAAGGGCCGGTTTTGGGAGGGGAAGCCTCCGCCTTAAGTGTTTGTTCGTATTATTGTCATTTTTTCTCTCTTCCTATCTTGCAAGTGGGCCCTCCTCCCCTTGCTGTTTTAATCTTCATGCAAATATTTTAGTTGGGGTTTATAAGACCTATCTGGTCTGGAATTTTGCTATACTAAAAAAATTCTTTTGTATAACTGTGGCGATGATTTTGCAAAAAAAAAAATCTTTGGGAGAGCAGAAGGGTGAGTTCCGCAACATAAGTAGACTTCCAAAAAAAACACATCACGTTACATATCTCGAATCTTACCTAGTAGTACTATCTTTTTTTGATTACTGATAATTTTTCTCCGCTCCCCCCCCCCCTTCCCCAGTTTTCCCGGCGCTTCTTTTATACTATTTCCAACTTCCACCTTACGTCACTGTTTGGTATTCTTCGGCCCGTAATCTACTTATAACAGAATCACCTCTTTTTTTTTCCTTTGAAAGAAAGTCCGGCGACCGAGAGAGTGGGGAAGGGGGGAGGGGTTGTTAGTTAGTTAGTTTGTATTTCGCCCCGCCACTGCCCTCACCGATCATCTAAGTAGGTAACTCTATGCGTGATGTTTGCTTTAAGAGAGAGAGAGAGAGATAAAAAAAACGGCTATTTTAGCGCGGTTGTTATCGGGCCTTGTTTTTTTGCCTCTTTATGGGTGTCGGGTATGGACTACGTAGCCCCGAGGGGAGGGGGGGGGGCTTATCGTACGTTTGAACAATGATCCTGCTGCGTTTACTAGCAATCCCTTGTTTTTTGTGTGTTTTTCTCTTCTACACACGTGAATTAAGGGGGGGGTTTAAAGTGTGCAATAGGTTCATGGTTATGCACTCAAGTCACATAACGTACAAAGAAACAGGACCCGAAGACATCCGCTCGAGCGGGGGAGAAGACGAAGATGAGGTTAGAGAGAATTGATGGGTGGGAAACATAGGGCCGGGGTTGTGGGAATCGTGGGGCTGGTAGTAGATGAAAAAGACTAGAAAGTATTGAACGAGTTGTTTGGCATGAAGGGCCGGGTAGTATAGTAACCTTTTTGTACATAATTGTGTACGAGATGTAGTTTACATTGGTGTTTTATGCAGAGGGGTTTTCTCCGGTAACGAGGCGTGATGGGCGGGTTTGCTTGCTTGAAGATGGGCGCTTGCAGCTAGGGCGGTTGGAGTCGAAGATGCATATCGCCCCTAGGTTCTTGCTGTACGTAAGGGAGTACGTACACAGTAGTAGTAGTATTCAAATGCCTCGGGATTGGAAAGGCTTGGCAACCCCGGAACTTGGTGAGACTAGTAACGGAAGTGATCTATCCGTCGATTGAACGACATGGCCTTTTTTTTGGCAGGGACAACGCTGCTTTTCTGATGTGTACCAAGAGATTTCGGGCCTGACATTCCGTACCTATTGCAAGAGTATAAATTGTAAATGACGATATCGGAAGCTAGTAAAATTTGTCAGAATTGGACTAATCCTCACGCATGGCAATCCTAGGATGCCCTTCGTTCATCGCCATATGCCAAGATCGGTACAGCACTTTGATCTTTCGGAAGTACTGCGTTTAGGATTACGCCTACAATGGCAGCAATGACAAATGGCGTTTCCACCGCGAGATTGATTCCTTGCTCAAACCCGATCAAGTTCTCGTTTGGCCCGTTGTATGCCAGAACCTGGGCAAACCAATCAGGCTGGCAGATATCCATGAACCCGATACCAAGTGCGACGGCGAGAATGAAGCGGTCGCGCCGTGTCCACGAGATGAGTGCGAGGACGCGAATGCCCGCTACGGCAATGGTGCTGTAGAGGAAGACTTGCATACCACCGAGCACCGAGGGAGGCATAGAAGCAAAGACAGCCCCGAATTTAGCAACGACTCCCATGAGAACCAGAAACCCACTTGCTGCCCAACCCGCTCGACGAGACGCACAGCCCGTAAGCACTATGACACCATTGTTTCCAGCTTGGCTGACCATCGGTGGACCGGTCGCAAGTGCACTGAGGAAACTGCCAATGCCATCGCACAAGATACCGCCCTGGACTCTGCTGTTAAACACCGTACCCTCGATATCCACATCTGACAACTCGGCCGTAGCCAGGATATCCGGGATGCACGACACCGCTTGGCACGCAAACATGATGATCATCGGTAAGACCAGCGCACCATCAACAGACAGGTTGAACGTATGCACCCAGAGAAACGTGCCGCCAGGCGCCCGATCCAGCTGTTCAGTAGACCAATATCCCGTTGCGCCCGACACGGCGCAGCCAACCGCCAAACCGATGACTACAGAAGCCGAGCGCATGAGCGGCGCACCAACAGCTTCTACAATGATAATAGTAGCAAATACACTAAACCCCAGCCCTATCAACTTCGGATGCCCCCAAACCAAGGGCCTCGGAGCGGAAACATCCGGACAAAGCGCATAGAACCCCTCGCCGTGGTGGCAATTCGAGGACCCGCCCCAGTTCTGCAGTCCATTGCCGACAAGATACACGCCGATTAACGTAAGTAGCGATCCAGTGATGAGTTTTGGAAAGACTTTGTTGAGAAGTTTTGGGGGTACAAAGGCCATCCCTATCTGGATCCAGACGCAGCAAAGCATGGTACCTAAGCATGCGCCCCAGGCGTCTGGGCACGATGCTTGTGTTCCGTCGGCGAGAATAGGGCAAGTGCCGGATTTGTAGCGCAAGGCGGCGTAGTTGAAGACGATCGGGAGGATGTCGAAGGTGGGTCCGACGACGCTGAGCAGGCCGGTGCCGATGAAGAAGGGGGTTTTCGCGATGTGGAGGCGTGTGACTTGCAGGGCTGTTGCGAGGCCGGTGGTGATGAAGGCGGTGGAGACGAGGTACGTGGTCATTTCTGCGTCGAAGTTGAAGGCGCCTGAGGCGATGGCGAGGGGTGGGGAGACGATGGAGCCGATCATTGTGAGGGCGTGTTGGAGGCCGAGGAGGAGAGTTAGAAGGATGGGGACGCGGTCGTTTAGGCCGTAGAAGGGGGCTTTGTAGTTTTTGTATTTTCTGTTCAATGGCCAGATGTTTGGGGTGATTAGGTAGACGTAGTCCTTGGTGTTGTTAGTGTTGATATTCTGAGTACTTTTGTTTTTAGGAAACTCACATAGTTACCGATCCAGCCATCTTTCGTCGTAAATGAATATTTGAGCTCTGCGAGCGTATCTTGCCATGTTGTCGTTACAGTGCCTACTTCGTGGCTAGTTACGGGCGAATATGGTGCTGTTTCTTCGGCGTACTTTGACTTTTGCTCCACCTCACTTGGAGGTTCCATGGCCATCGCTGCTATCAGTTCAATTTGAAGCGTCAACTACAATTTCAAGTAGCTTTGCGTAACTCTGGTAGACGCGATCGCGCTGTATGTATATACAATATGGTCCCTGCCATTGCCATTTCGCGGTGCTAAGCCGGCGGCGCGCGTTTCCTATGATAGGCGTTCGTGAGTTCACAGAATACCGCGATAGCCAATCCACTGGAGACCCGCTATCAGAGGTAACATAACAATCAATGGGCATAAGAACTTTGTCGGCATGTCCTGTAAAGTAAGGTAGACAGTATGACGATAAGGGGATGTTATCATGTTAGCGTCGGCCGCCCCTTGTCACTTTAGGCGAGCTGGCGGAAACGGAGATTGGCAGTATACACAACGCTGCACTCATGGTTAGAGGACAGCAGATGTCCATTTGTACAGAAATTGACTGACTAAAGGCACGGGCTATTTGGTTTCGGAGCCCGCTTCTAATTGATGCTTCTGTTCACATCCCAATTTATATACATCAACATCTCAAGGAAGAAGGCTGGCTACATTTAAAAGCTGAATTTACTGCAGACATCTCAACACTCCCAAAAGACCTCAACTCTTGCCAAGGAAACGATGTGTTCGTTAAGCACAGCTCCCAGACGACTATTAGTCCATGCGACCATCATCACCGTCAACAAGAACCGGGAAGTTATCCTGGACGGCGCACTACTCATTGAAAATGGTCGCATCACATCGCTTGGAAAGACTGCAGACCTCCTGAAGCAAGTAGAATCGGAGAGCAACCAATATATCGAAGTCATAGGTTGCACGAACAAAATAATTATGCCTGGTCTGATCAACACACACGCACATCTAGCACAGTCACTATTACGGGGCCTCGCCGAGGACCTCACACTTCACAATTGGCTGTGCGACGCGATTTGGCCGTTGGAAGCAAACTACGCCGAAGACGACGGCTATATCGCGTCCATGTTGACGATAGCCGAGATGCTCAAGACAGGAACAACATGTTTCCTCGAAGCCATGCTCACGCACAGAAGCGGGCTTGAAAACGTGGTTCGAGCCGTACAAGAGACCGGCATACGAGCTTGCTTAGTAGGTTTGGGGAAGATTGACCAAAGCCACTGAACAACAACTGACAAACTACCAAGGGAAAACTGATCAAGGTCGCTGAAACAAACGCAAATCTCAACATGAAGGACGCAAGAGATCGCGACGTCGACTCCATGTCCGTAGCTGCTGCACTCTCAGCCCACAAGAAACACCACAGCACCTGCAACGACCGTTTACACGTATGGTTTGCCGCAGGAACACCTCGAGGCTCTCCAATGTCTGCACACGCCTCGATAGGCGAGACAGCGCGAACGCACAATATCGGCGTTACCATGCACTGCGCAGAAGCCCCAAAGGACCTTCCCATCTACCGGGAATACTACCAATGCAGTCCCATGCAGTTCTGTCGCGATGCCTCGCTGACAGGTCCCAAAAGCGTTTTTGCACATTGTGTACACCTGGATCCAGCAGCTGGAGATTACGATGTATTATGTGAGAGCAACAGCACTGTCTCGCACAATCCAACAAGTAATCTCAAGCTGGGTTCTGGAGTCGCGAGTATACCGGATATGGTTGCGAGTGGCGTCAATGTGGCACTGGGAACAGATGGCGCGCCTTGCAACAACACGTACGACATGTTCTGGGAGATGCATCTAGCGGCGATACTTCATGGCGGGGTGAAGCAACAGGCTGGTGTGCTGAGTGCGTATGATGTCTTGGAATTCGCTACGATAAATGGCGCCAAAGCGCTGGGATTGGATAAAGAAATTGGCAGTTTAGAGGTGGGGAAGAAGGCGGATGTTGTTGTTGTTGAACCGAGAGGCGTATCCAATGCCCCGTGGGTTGCATCTGAGCAGAGTACTGGTGGAATAGATCCAGTCACAGTGCTTGTTCACTCTTCAGGAGCAGATGTCGATACTGTGATAGTGGATGGTCAGATCCTTGTCAGCAAGGGACAGTTGTTGCACATTGACGAAGATATGGTCATAAATAAAGCAAAGGATTCGGTAGCAGGTATACGGAAAAGAAGCGGCGTGGGTGCGAGAAACCACATGTTGTTGAAGTATATATAGACTCAGAACCGAAATGAAAGCAAATCATCAAAAAGACTGTGGCCTCCCAAAACGGTTTGCGGCGGCAACATGTTCACGAAAGAGTCCCATGAAGCATCCCCCACATACTCAGGGGCTTGCGCTGTTGGTGCAGAGGTGGGTATAGTGACTTGAAGGTTTTGCGACATATTGCTGATGAAGCTTTCTACATCCAACGTGCGGGCCCGTTTCCTCGATGAACAAGCCGTATCACTGGACTCTGCTGTTCGTGGGCGCTTTCTACTCCCAATCGTTCCACCCTCTCGGATCTCTTGTTGCAGCGCCAAAAGTAACTGGATACCACGCGAAGCAATTTTGCTCTCATCGAATCCTTTCAAGTAATCAACCGTATCCGCAACAAGCTTCATGTGTTCCTCGACTTCTTTTTCGTCCGCGCTTCGATGCAACGCATCGAGGCTGAGAATGATGCCTGCGGCAATCGAAAACGCCTGCTCAATCCATAGTATTGGGGCCCGCTCATCATTTTCTGATAGTGCTTCTTTCAGGATAGTCTTAGACGCTGCAATGCATGTGCGGCGAGTAAATGAGAATGCCGAATTAGTAAACGAAAGTCTCAGGAATTTTCGATGTATCATGATAATCTTGTGCGAAGCGCAGATGGCTAGAGATCGCCTTGCCCAACCTACATGGATCGGCCAGTCGTTGGCTACGGGTGCGTTGTTCGATAAGAAAGTCGGCATACAGGCTGTGGCAAGCTTCCGCATTTTCTCGTCATACTGCAGTACCTTTTCGTACTTTGTGAAAAGTGTGTTGCATTCAGCCATAGCGTCTAGCAATTGTGGCATAAGTTTAGCAATATCATAACGGTAACTACAATAGCTTGCTTGGGTGGGTACAGACAAAGGCTGAGGTATCATGTCGTCGTCGTTGCAATTCAAGAGTTTTGTGTTCTGACAGAAGCGGGGGTTGAGTGAATAGGATTCGGAAAATGGAATTTGAAACCAGTCTTGCGTACAGAGCTGGTTGAAAACTCTTCGTCCCATTTCACGGTGGCGAAGTTGCTGTTGTGAAACAGTAGTGGTTGTGCCCTCAGGGCCAAGGCGATGCAGACCTAAGCTTTGCGCAATACGTCCAGCTGAGGCAAGCAAGACTGACTGGCTATTTGATTTACCCAAAACGTGAGCCGCGATTGTCAGAGTGGCGATTGCTTGTACAGAGTAGATGGTATGATTCTCGATATAACATGCAATGTTGAGACATGTCACACTTGCTTCGTACCATCTTTTTGACAAGGCTGTCTTTTCGGCTGATGAGAATCCCCATGACTGGTATACAGATGGTGGCGCACATGTGATGCTTCCAGTGATGATGGAAAACAAAAGTCCCAGCCACTGTAGATTTAGATTCTCGCTGTGTACATTGCTTTCGTACTCTGTGAAAAATAGATCCAAATCTTGATTGAATATTGTTGACGAGTAGGAGCAATGGTACCAGAGGATACAACTGTTGTGGTATTCAACAAGCTGTAAAATATGATCCTTGCTAGGAAGGAGAGCTTCCAGAATATCGAGCTGTGCGTCTCTGCTAGCCTCGGTCATGGTGTTGGATGCGATCGCTGGGTCATCTTGCCCTACGCTGAACCGTCTTGGCCCACTGTTGTGCTCTGCTGACGACCCGTATTGCGCATCTTTCTTGCGACCCCATGCTAGGAACTCCAGGACAGTAGCTGTATCGGTAGCCTCAGAAGGTACATCGGCATTGTTTTCTTGGAGAGGAGAAGTCGGGACATGGCCATGCGTCGGACTCGATGAAGCATCTCCGGGATGTGGAAATGGCGCTCCGCTCAAAGACGCATCATGTCGCCCCCCTAGCTTAGATTCTAGCTCGTCTACACGTTCCAGAATTGTGCGCATAAAGCCGTCGGATGCTGCTGGAACCCTTTGGGCTTGGTAAGCAGGAGGAGGTACTGATGGTATAGTTGAAGCATCATCTCTTGTACAAAAGCTTGCGTAACCCCTAGTTGTGACTTAGCATTATACGTTGCAGAAATAATTCCAGTCAGTCCAGTTGGTTTATACAATGCCACTCAGGCACAACAATCTTCATGAATGGCCTCAGCCTGTTGGCTCAGCCGCAAGCCCAAGCGTCCCAGTCTACAACGTGAAAAGAGGTGCTAACCTTTTGATACAGGTACTGCAAGGCACATTCTTATCGCACTTTATCTTCCTCCTATAGCATTCTGTGCATGTCAATCGGGCCCTTTGCCCTTTGAGAGCGCTACTGTCGTCCATGGATATTGAGAACAGTTGATGTCAGGTTGGTAGTTGAGTTCGAGGGCGGTTCCGAGACCTCAAAGACCCGATTGTTAGCATCATGTGGCAGTAGCATGCATATGCAGGACGTAGCAGGGACAGGTGGATCAACGAGTCGATATTTTGAGATGGAAAGGACGATGAGCAGGGAGCGGCCGAGATAGTGGACGGCACTGAGGGTTGCTCGGCAGTGGGGAGGGGGAGCAGCAACGGCTGCCGATTGGTGTCGCTCAACAGTGGGGGCAGCGACAGATATCGATTGGCTACACTCTATACAAGTATATCAACGCAAGTCCGCCAGCAGGCCAATCGACATCTGTCGCTCGTTAGCTTATCGGACGGGTCCCAGCCGAAGCCCCACCCACCCCAAGTGTGCACATTGAATGCTTATCTTTACACTACCATCACTTGCCACCAACGGCCGCCGGACCCAACGGCCGCATCGACTACGGTGATTTTGAGTTTGATGACCTTCATCCGAGGAGCATACATTTTGACGGACGTGACAAGACATAAGAGCAAGTATGGTATGTGATTGAAGTGAGGCTTGAAACTGCAGCTCATCAGCATTGAACAATTCGAACCATCAGCATTTCCTTATGGCGCCCACAAAATACATTGATCGTCCTGTGCCGACTATCTCGCTTCGTGATTTCGACTCACGGGTGGATGAGATCACCAAGGAGCTCGTTGATGCCGCAGAAAATCACGGCTTCTTTTGCATTGTAGATCATGGAATCAGCCGTGACTCTATTGATCGCATCTTTGATCAGTCATCGCGCTTCTTCAATCAGTCGGACGACGTAAAGTCAAGGGTACCCTTCTCTCCTCAGCACAACGCTGGATGGGAAAAGAATGCGCAGGTAAGGCCATCAACAGGGGCCGTTGATCGCAAAGAGTCGTACCAGATGCAATTTGGTGAGGCCATGAATGGTGAGTTGTGGTTGCAATGCTTATATTTTGTTGCAAAACTGATGTACAAAAGGGCGCTGGCTGGATGAGGAGACATTGCCAGGCTTTCAAATGCAAGCCCTGGAGTTCATGCACCAAGCACAAGCTGTCAGCGAAAAGCTCATGAAGTGTTTTGCGAGAGGCCTAAAGTTTGAAGATGACTACTTTGTCAAAGCCCATGATGTCAGCCGGCCAGAGTGTCAGACTGTTTGTCGGCTCTTGCACTATTTCGAAACACCCAAAGTACAAGACTTGACTGGGCAGGTGTATCATAGGGCCGGTGCGCATGCTGACTGGGACTTCTTGACTTTGTTATTTCAGAAAGCTGGTCAGTCGGGCCTTGAGATATGCCCAGGAAGAGAAGTTTCGACTTCATTTGGGTATGGTGACGCATGGACAAAGGTCGAGCCTGATGTTGAGAAGAATGCAATTGGTAAGTTGGTTTTCAGCCTGAATATCAACAATGCGCTGAACTTCTATAGTATGCAATGTCGGTGACTTGCTCATGTCATGGTCTGATGACCGCTTCAAATCGACCTTTCATCGCGTCAAGGCGCCATGCGAGCCAGACGACTACTATGGCGAGCGATACAGTATTGCTTTCTTCAACCAGCCATGCAGAGACGCCAAGATCCAAGGTCCATTGAAGAGATATCCAATGGTGACGGGTGAGGAGTTTACCAGGAATGCTATGAGTAGGAACTACCAAGCCATACAAGAGAAGCTGAAGAAGGAGAGAGAGTCGATACCCAAGGTGACAGAAGTGAAAGCAGCAACAACACAGGTAGGCGCAACGGCATGAGGTATCATAGTGTAGAATGCAGTATGGACAGACGTCACGCAGTCATTTTACGGAGCTACCTCCGGTTGCACTACTTGCCCTCACCCCTACCTTGCTTCGTGCGCTCACTCTCCTTACACGGTCTCGCTTTGCTATATTCAAGGTGTTTGCATCATCTGTATGATAAAACCTCTGAGAATGACCACGGTTGTTGATTCTTGCGTACTATCATATCGTCTAAGTATTGTTCAAAAGTATGGCGACAAGCTAAGCTCGATGCACCACGTGATTGACATGCCAGGTCAATGCTGAGCAGACGGACGAAAATCCCTATGGAAGTAGCGCCTTAAATCCGAGCCGCCACATGATTCTGCTCCTATCCCTTGTTTCTAAAGACGGTATACAGCTGCTAGCAGGGATAACAAGTGAGGAGTAACTTCACGCAACTTGTCCGACTCTCAGTGGCTTCACTAACGCCGGCTGTTAAATCCGGCCGAAAGTTTACGAAACTGCTTCAAGATGTCCATGAAGAGAGTGAATATAAAGAAGAGACGTAACGTGTGGTATTAAAATTCAGCGTTCAATCAATCTCTCAAGACCTTACACTGTAAATCTGACGAAGAGCCTTCAGTTCATGAACAAAGTCAGTCTAATTACCTGAGCAAATCGCACGTCAATTGGTTTGATAAATTCGGTTCTAGTTATGTGGTATTCTCGAAAGACTAACTTGTTACTAGATCATCTGGAGGCATCAACATGAAGATGGCCAGCCAACTCTCGCAAGCCTTTCCTCCCGCTCCAAAGTTCACAGAAGAAAGTGTTCCCGACCTCACATCCAAAGTTTACATCGTCACCGGTGCCTCAGCAGGTGTGGGCAAAGAGCTCGCTCGTCTCTTGTACAGCCGTAACGGCACAGTTTACGTTGCGGCACGTTCAGCAGAGAAAGCAAACACCGCGATATCTTGGATCAAGGAGCGCCACCCAAATGCAACTGGTCAGCTGCACTTCCTCAAGCTAGACCTCAACGATCTAGGAGGAATCAAGTCTTCCGCCGAGGAGTTTCTGAGCAAGGAACAGAGACTGGATGTGCTTTTCAACAATGCGGGCGTCATGATGCCGCCTCAGGGCAGCAAGACGGAGCAAGGATACGAACTGCAAATCGGCACGAATTGTCTAGCGCCTTTCTTGTTCACAAAACTGCTTACCCCGCTAATCGTGCAAACTGCCAAATCAAGTCCACCCGGTAGTATCAGAGTGGCCTGGGTGTCCTCGAGCGCAGCCGAGGTCGTTGCGCCGCGGGGTGGAGTCGACATGGACAACCTCGATTACAAGAAGGACCAATCAGCAACGACAAAATACGCCATTAGCAAAGCAGGCAACGTGTTACATGCGATTGAATATCAGAGAAGACACAAGAACGACGGAGTGGTTAGCACTGTGAGTTTTCTTTTTGCATGCAATCTGGATTTGTTCTTGAGCTGATAGAATACAGGCACTTCACCCGGGACTCCTCAAATCTGAGTTGACGCGACATTCAGGGACTTTATTGAGTTTGCTTTCCAGGCCCTTTCAGCATAAACCAGTATATGGTGCCTATACGGAGCTTTTCGTGGGACTGGCACCTGAAGCTGCAAATCTCAAGGAAGGAGATTGGGTCATACCCTGGGGGAGAATTGTAGAGGTCCGGAAGGACCTTGTGGCCGATGGTAAAGCAGGACCTTTTTGGGAGTGGAGTGAGAAGCAAGTAGAACCGTATGCATAGCTAGTAGAAGTAAATTACCACGGCTAGGTATACATGGGTAGTGTTCTTTTGGATTTTCTTTTGTGCATAATGTATGTTTCCATATTTTGCCACTTTCTTACCGTAGTTTCATTTGCAACGTCTATGTCGCAAGCCACAACGACGCAGCATTGGCTAGTTTCTGCACATGTTGCCTAGTCGAGCTACTCAGCATCTGCGCACCGTTGGCAATTCCGCTGTGCAGCGCATTGCAAGCATCTAATGCTATTACTGTCTTGACTATCTTACCATCAGAACACAGTCCTTCAGCGCACGTAGTGTCTTAGAGAAGGCGCAGTCTCGCCAGTGACTTCTATATGTATTGGAGTAACTAACAAGAAACATTCTATCACTAGCGAAGTACGGATGGTTGAACGCCAACCGACGTACACGTTAGAATGCCGTAGTCGACATGGGGTGCGCGGATCACGTGACGTGTCATAATTGCTGAAAGGACGAAAGACTTATGGCAGGATTGAAAGCAATGAGGATATAAGACTTGATGGATTCCATTGCTATCTTTGTAGTTAAGTCTTATACGTGCTTCTCTTACTCAGATTGAGGTTTAGTTTTTCCATATTGATTCTAGAATCAATCGTTCTTCTCTCGATTAGTCAACTATGACGACTCTTTTCTAATAGTCTCTCAAACAATCGCACAATATGCACCACAAATATCTCTTCCTAACCCATACCGAGACTAGCAAAGTATAGTATAATCCAGTCCCGTGTAATACATAGAACCACCCGCCGCAGCCGCAACGTCAAGCTTCTAGATAGATACAAGTAGCACACATTCATCGCAGATATCTAAACATTCCTCGATTGAACATCTTCGCAATAAGAACCGTCACACCTTAGGATGCGGGGCTATGTGTGCGGGGCATGTTCGGTTCAGCTCTGTTTTCCGGTTTGCTAATGAGATATAGAATGTCTTTTCAAAACGAAGTAGAAAACGCCTTTGTGTTTAGTAGAATCTATATACATTTTCATAGAGTCACAACACTGAGCTCCATTTGTTAGCGCTAATAGTACCATGACATGGTACTAAGCCCTGCCAAGTGCTAATCTTGCACAGCTGACCACATGTTAAGGTACCACGTGACCTCCACGTGATCACTACATAGCCACAAAATAAAGTTCATACCAGACCCTTACTTTAGTGTAGTACTTAAGTATGCTAATAGGGCACGGAACCGGAAACGGGGGCAACTGAACAGGCTCCCCTGTTGTTCGACTGAGGCAACGAGCAGATCGCCAAGATGCTGTTCGCCAAGGTATCGATTACCGGAATAATTCTAGAGCAGATGGTGTATGGGCCGTTCCGCTCTTAGCTTCAACCAAAAAGGTCTTTACTATTCTCGATTTCCTGGTGAGATGGGACCTATCACAGCCGCGATCAAAATCTTAAGGCATATAAACCGTCTAATCCATCGCCTATTACAAAATCATGTGAATATTTAATATGTCAGTAAGGGTCTAGAACCAGTCTTCGTCGCTTAATGGCCCCATACTCACGTCTTCAGCCTCATGCCACAGTACAGCCCCACGCCACCAAAATTTCTAGACCAATAGGTATGCCCCACCAACCTCAGCTCACGCACGTTGCTATCTATCGCTTCCACCAGCTTATCTAACGCAGAAAAACTACGTAGCCAATTCAAGCTGTAATCGCCGGTAACGGGGGCCGAAAGTGCGGGGCTGAATAATTCCCTCTGTCCAAATGTATTGAATACATCCTGCTAACATTGTGGCGCCCAGTAGCACTCAGACATGTTGCTCCATGCATATACCAAGACTTCAAGTAGCCTGCTGAGCTTCTGCATCAGCTCACTTCTCAGTAACTCTGCCGATGCGCCTGTTCAGCCTTGCACCCTGTATATTATGCAGTGCCACCGCGTGTATCCATACGATTTGCGATTCTATTAGGCAGCTAAGACACATTTTCAGGTTTCTCCGTGCGGTAGGCAATTCCTGTAGAGTAGGCGACGAATTAGACTTGATATATTTTCAGCCCCCATCTGCCCTAATGCAATGCGGGACGGGCATAACCTAATCTAAGGTCCGCGGCATGAGCTTACCACACCTTAGAGTAGGTTGCTGTAGCTTATCGTGCTTGGAAGCCAAGGCCTGGAAGACAGCTGAACAGAAGGCAGAAATCTAGCTCTCATATCAATATCGATGTTAAGCCATTTCCCCTTCTGAGTTCTTCACTTGAGCCTATGCGTAGAGACGAATCTTCTCCACCTCAAATTCCCAATGGCGTACCAACACCTGCATAAGAATCAGCCTAACGTTGATATTGAGCCAGTAAATGAGGGCTGCGATTCACCCTCACCAACTCAACAACGGTATGGGCAAGACGATCGCAACTTTGAATACGATCATGCCAGCCCAGTATCAACCGTAGGAACACGAAATACTAAACATGTAGCGCACTGGAGTACCTCTACAGATGTCACCGCCGTCACCTCGGAAACATCCAGCCAGAGGTCTGGGGGCAAACCCAAGTCTTCTCATGCTCGTACCTGGGCATTTGAGATGATGGCTATCTTCGTCGCTCTCGGAGCTGTTGCTGCCATTATCGGGGTCGTTTTCAAGTACAACGGGCGTGCTTTACCGGACTGGCCTCACGACATTACTCTGAACGCGCTCATCGCTTTGATGGCTACATGTGCCAACGCTACCATGTCCGTTTGCCTTTCGAGTGGAATATCACAGGCAAAATGGATCCGCTTCAAGCAAAAGCCGACTCCGCTATCCGACATTGAGGTTTTTGACGAAGCCAGCCGTGGTTCCTGGGGATCGCTTAAGTTACTCGTGACGGGTAGAGGAGGGTAAGTTGATCTGCTTCAACCATTAGCTTCTTATGACTGACACTTTTGTTACTCAGATTGCTTGGGTCTTTCGGTGCCATCGTCGCTATCGTCGGGCTGGCCCTTGGGCCCTTCGCACAGCAGATAGCAACGTATAAGATGCGAACTGTCGAAAGCGACGTCGGTGCTATCATCCCTAGAGCCGTCAACTACACCGGTGCACTGACGGGTAACAGCAGTAGTGAGTATCTCCAGAAAACACCATCAGCCAGTCTACTAACATTTCACAGCTGGTTTTGTACCAATACTTCCCCTAAAAGCCGCAGTCTACAATGGCCTGTTTGCAGAGAACAATCGACCTGCAGCGTCTCTAAAGTTTCAATGCTCAAGTGGTAACTGCGCATGGAAGCCCTTCGAGTCACTTGCTGTTTGCCACGAATGTACCGATATCACACCCCTCATGACGCGATACTGTCCACCAGAGATAACTGACTCAGCCAACGTATCTTCATGCGGCTGGCAAGTACCTCAAGGAGCGCTGCTCAACACCAGCTCCGATGTGTTCAGTATGACTTCGTTCATCCCATCCGCATACGGCGACATGCCTCACTCCACCTTCATCAAGCTCATTTTCATGGGCACAGAGCACCAGGACACCCCCCGAGTTCTCAACCCCTGGGCTACACAGTGCACACTACAAGCTTGCGTCAACACGATATCAGCGTCAGTAGTAAACGGTACGCATCAAGAAAACATCACGCACTCGGTGATGAATCACACGGTCCTCGACATGAGCTCGCCAGACCCAGACGCCGACTACGGCGTTTACATTCAAGGTGACTCCAAGGACTCTGCGTATCTCGTTGGCATGGGTGCCCTCCTGAGTATCCGCGGCTGGTTCGGCGCAATCTTCACAAACGGCTCTGCGACCCGGACCACCAGCGACTTCACCCGCAGCATCACTGACCCTGACCGTGCTGTTGTCGTTAATCTCACGGTCGGTATCGCTTCGGGAGAGACGTTCTTCGACACGGATATCTTGACTGCGTTTTACTGGAACTACTACGAGTACACTAATGGACTCGATATGCTCATGAGCGATCTGGCTATATCCATGACTACGGCATTCCGCAGTTTCATGGGTGCTGTACCTACAGCCGGGAAGTCCATGACAGTCGAGTCATATGTGCATGTTCGGTGGGGTTTTGCGGTACTGCCCATTACTGCTGTTCTCGCGACGCTCGTCTTCTTGATAACTTCCATGAGCCTGACCCATACGTCTGACACACAGGCTTGGAAGACGAGTGCGCTGGTGTCACTGTTCCATGGTTTGGATCACCAGACAAAAGAGAGGTTTAGTGATAAGGAAAGCTTGAGCGCGAAAAGGAAACAGGCAAAGGCTGTGAAGGTGCAGTTGCAGACCGACGATCGTAACGAGACCTTGTTGCGGGCTGAGAAGGTGCAGTGCTAGTTTTATAGAGGGTTTTTACTGTTCGATATCTTTGGAATAAGTCTGTCCACGATTTTATTGGCTCTACAATCTAAACACTACTTTCGCTCTCAATATCTTTGCTCTTTCTTCCCTCGCTGCTAACATCACTCTCCGTGTCACTGAGCAAGCCATCCCAAGCTTCATCTTGCACACTGTCTGCCTCATCCTTCTTCCCAGCACCCTGATCAACTTTGACATTGACGAACAAGATCCATAGCCCAATGTCGTAGATTATTCTACACGTACCCGATGCCAAGAAAGCTACCCAGAAGTTATCGCTGCCAGCGAGGAGACCAGTAATTGACGGACCCACGCTCATAGCCAAGGTACGCACCATACTTGTGATACCCATGGCACCAGTGCGCTCCTCGGGCTTGACAACTGCAGCAATGAAAGCTGTACGTGGTGCCTGATCCATACTGTTGAGAGCGGCGCGGAAAAGCATCAGCCCGATTGTCCATGCAGGCTTTGAGGGCACAGGGATGAAAACAATGGATAACGACGAAGGGAGATGAGTAAAGACCATGGTGTTGATGAGTCCGATGCGTTTAGCCAGTGGTCCAGCGAAAACAGCGCCGACTGCGCAAAGGAATTGCGAGGCCGATGTGATGTCTCCGAGTGTAGCTTTGGAGACGCTAAATTTGCGGTCGACGTAGTAGTTCATGAGCGAATAGGGTGTCATTCCATCCGACAAACTGTCGACGGCAAGGAGGATCCAGAGCTTGTACAGGATTGATCGTGTCGTTTTGGAAATTTGACTGAAATAGCTCTTCTTCTTAGGCGATTGTGTAACTCTGAGATTTTCCTGTCTCCTCGAAGGTTCGCCGTTCTGCTCGAATCCATCTGTTGTACTTGGCGTCATTGGTTCCAGGAGCATTTCTCCTTCTTCTCCATCACCACTGGCTCTCCTTCGCTCTTTCATCTCGGCAAGTTTCTCGCCGGCAGCTTCGCATCTGCTGCTCAATCCTAGACACAGTATACTGCCGAGTGCGCCAAAGGCTGCGTATCCCCAGAACAAAGCATGGTATGCTTTGGTAGCGTTACCGCTGCTCTTCTCAAAAGCGTTCACCATTCGCCCTGCAACCTCGGCTCCTATAGCACCAGCCATTGTGGTTGCCGTCACGTACCACGACAAAACGTCACTTCTTGTCTTCTCGTCCGTCAATCCACTCAGTATACTCTCCTCGACTGCCCTAAAAGGCCCACAGTCAGCTCCCGTAACGGAGATGATGCCAAAGACTGCCGCAATCAAGAGGATCCAGAAGTTCTCAGAAAGAGCGAACGTGACACCTGAGCAAGCCATCATCACGCTGCCCATAAACAAGATTCTTCTTCTTCCTATTTTATCCGCTACCAAGGTAAGTAGCAAAGAGAGCATAACATCTCCGAGTAACGTCAAGGTCATGAAAGCCCCGATTCTCGAATCCTGAAAATTGAGGGAGGCGAAGAATAAGGCTAGGACAAGACTAGGAATGCCAGCAGCAAACATGCGCAAGGAGCGCAGTATAATGATAATGTAAGCATCCCTTCCCGTTGCATTGAGTGATTCGACACCGAGGAAGCTTGCAATTCGTGATACGAAAATGGGAGCCATGGTGGCGATGTACGACGGATGGTGCCGGAGTAGATAGAATATGCAGTTCCAACAGCCACGAAATGGTGAATCAAGAGAAGATAGATAAGAAAAAAGAAAAAGAGGAAGAGGAAGAGTTGCAGTCTACAAAAGACAGGTGATTGCCTGCATCGTTAGTGGGGACGTTAAACCCGTCGCGGGTTTAAGCGTAGTAGTCGCAATAGTCCCCATCTATACAAGTGACTCATTGGCGCGTTGCATGGGAGGCCTAGCCCACAGCTTCTAGATTCCGGTGGAGGAAGAAGACACCCGGCAGTCTTGCCGATGTTCGCTGCGCGGCCGAGATGTTGCAAGTGCAGGAAGGACTCTTTCCCCCACTTTGGAAAACGTGGGGGTGGGGTACGTCATGGTTCGCACGTGATTGGCACCTTCTCTCACCTATATGCATTGACGTTTCTCACTACACACCTAGTTTTGCAGCAACTGGCTTTTGCATTGAATATCATACTTCTTTCAATTCACTCGTATCATGCGTCGGCTATCAACTATGATTAAACCGGATTTACTGCGACGGGTAAACCGATGCGACTTTCAGATGGCACGCGACCAGTCTGAGAAAACCCGCCCATACTTCAACAATGCTCCAGACTATCTCTCGCCTATGACAGATTCATAGTAAAGGTCATTTAATGTGAACGTATCACACTTTGACCACAACTACTTCCTTTTACTTTATCATTCCTATAGAGATGTGCGGGATCAAATACTTTGCTCTTGACCGATATCGCTGTCAACACTTCTAACTTCTGACACCACAACCGAAGAAGTCAACCGAATAAGGTGTCTCTCCTCGGTCCCCACTACTAACCCATTGTTCAAGATGGCAACGAAGGATGGTACATTCGAGGATAACTTTGCTCGGCGGATGCCTTTGGAAATCAAGCACATGGTCTTCAAATGGGCAGTAAGCGGCAACGGCGACAAAGGCGGCATCACGGACATCGAGGTCGAACTTGCGCATGAGAACAAGCAGTCGCTCAAGTCACCAGCTCTAGACCTTCTGGCAACACTAGCGCGGTGGTATCCAGCAGATGTCCACAAGGAAGCAGTGGGGTATCTTACCTCACCATTATTTCGGTGGGTGTTCATCAGCGACAAGGAGCCGCATCACTCTCTCCTCGCTGTCTTCCGCAAACAAATTTCAACCCGTATTCGAAAGCGCATCAAGCATGTCTACTTGCGAAAACTACGGGTATCAAGTCTTATCCACAAAGCAGAGTTTCCCATAACGAATGGAGATTTGGAGTCGTTGGAACTTCCTCAAGTCTCAGATTACTCTGATTATCTCCGATGTATCGACAAGGATGGAACACGCAATCTATCCGATGTCCGTCTAGCGGTCCTCGAAGAAATCTTGGAAGGCATGCTCTTATTGCCGCGCGCACTACCATCCATCATAAAATTCGATGTCGGTCTTGACATCTTTGATTGCCTACTCGAAGTCCAACACTTTGAGCAAAGCCTTTCCTCGCTGATCGACGAACTACAAGCTGATCCACAGGATCCGTCTTTATACGCCGCATATTCTATCGCCATCTGGCCATTCAAGAGGCTGAGAGGAGTATCTAACATCAACATACAAGTTGTCTGGGACAATCACTTTAGGCAGGAAGCCGACTTAGGCGCAACAGACGAAGAAAAGGAAAAGCTTCAGGATATTTTTGTCACGTTCATGCGCAGGCAGATTCCTGCAAAGTCCATCACGAGCTATGTTCAGAAGTAGATATTCATGACTTGGTATAGTGGATAGTGAGTACTCGACTGTGAAAGGAGTGGACAGACACGGATTGGAGGAGCTTGATTTCAGGTATCTATGCCGTGCGACCGGCTTCTCTAATTAGGCTCGACTGAACATACAAACTTTGATTCCAAAATAAACCTACCCAACTTCATTCCATGTTCATGGCTTTGGCACAATTCTTCTCTCGTCGTTTATGACCGCCGAGATGAAATGACTCGCCTGCCCCATCTTTGAACAACTAGCCGACTATCCTCAAGGAACTTTGTTGTCTCATACTGAAGCTTCGCCAAGCATACTCTGGTTAGGAGATTCAAGGTTTTCAGGAGCAGGATCTAGGTTGCACGATGAGTAAAGAGAAAAAGAGACGATCGGGAAATTGTAATTTTGATTCGCAGAAATGACAGAAAGCACTACATCTGCCCTATTGCAATTTCCTGCCGAAGCTAGGAGATCCGATTCACCAATGCATAATCGAATTCGGTTGGATGGCTTTGGAAAAGCCAGCACCTTGGATGATCATGGATACATGTCGCTCCAGTTCCCAACCACCAGATTCATGGTATCATTCATCGCAACCGCGTCATGAGGCTAATCTTACGAGATGCCGTTCGATTTCGTAAGCGTAAGAGACACCGACCCTAGTCAGATATCCATATCAGTTTTTATCTGTGTTGATGATCATGTTTGATACTTACCAATCGCCGAGGTGTTGACAGTACTATTCAACTACTTTCTGCTCAATTCCAATTTCTAAGTTCATGTCAGAAGAGACAGCCTCTATTTCGCAGCGCAGTTTATCTTCCATGGTTTGCTTGATAATTGTGTCGACTTTCGGCTTGATAATGATGCAGAAGACCACTTTCTTCAAACCAGGGAGGTACTTTGGCAATTTCAGTATGGAAAAAAGCCGGGGGATGTCTTTCGATAGGGATTCTTGACTCTCTTGTAAAGAAATCTCGAATCGGAGGGAAGTAATCTGGCGACGCTGGCCAGTCTTGAAGCGGGAGAAACATTCCCTCATTGGATAATGCAACGGAATGGAGAATACACTTTGTTGCATCGGGATATTAACTGCTTCTGCGTAGATTTGACGGCATACTCGTAAGAGAGCGACTCTGCTAGGATCCCCCTGCGAATGCATGCGATAACTGTCGCGTTTTGCCTCATACGCTCTTCCGCCGAGCGCAAACTCCCATATCATATTGCGGACCTGTATAGTCAGTATCCGTTGCATATCTGGATGGCGAGTAGTTCCTTACCTCAGCCGGGAGACGAAGTAGAGGCGATTTCCGGTTGGCTTCAACACTGATGGATATTAGTTGTCTCCTGCAAAGTCCAGTCATGGTGTACTTACATGTCCTTCTCTCCGCCCTTGGGTGTAACGTTGAGCATGCCATTCCTGAAGGTGTGGTATCCGCGTGCAGGCCTCTTCACAACCACGTCTTTGCTCTGCTTATCAGTGGAAGTCTTCTTCGCTTTCTGAGCCTTGTCGTTGGTAGCAGGCTTTTGGGGCGCCATGATGATGTCGAGAGTGACTGGTTGACGAGCAGGGTTGTGTTCAAGATATAAGCAGAGGGTAGAAAGTGGAAGAGTTAAGTGAGACTGTTCGCGGTGAGTGAAAGCAGGACAAGACCCTCATAGGAAATGTTATCACGCCAACGCAGTACGGTGAGCGGGAAGCAAACACAGTGACAGTGAGTGTGAAGGAGAGCGTATCTTTTGGCCATAGGGCATTAATTAATAACTACTTGATCACATCTCATTGGAACGGCAAGGTAATAGAAGGCAGTCACAACGTCTATGCTAGTTAGAACTATCATAACAGAAGCCTACGCCTTCACTGCAGCCATAACTTCACCTACACCCGCAACTCGCATCAATATTACCGGAGGGGAGCGAGCACCTAATCTTCATGTCAGTACATTATTGCGCATGACATACTCAGCAGTGAAGGCGATGAGGAAGTGCTCAGAGAGAAGATTGTAAACTCGCCATTGATGGCGCCAGACGAGACGAGAGTGAAGGACTGCAAGCAGTCCTTCACTCTCGTCTCAAGCCCGGCACCATCTCCGCCTAAGGATGACGATAACGAAGTTTCATCATTGCACATGCGGTAAAGGAAAAGGGAGTACTCACATATGGACTTCAGTGTGTGGACTACAAACTTGTTTGCGCAAGAGCATTGAAGCAATGCTATTGAAAGCGGACAGCCGCGATGGAGGGTGGGCCAAGACAAGCAACCATAACTGCAAGAGTTGTCTGGTTCAATAGTCTAGATCCAGGGTGTCGTCCTTTTGCGCATCCGGCCCATTCGCCTGGTGCCATGGGTCCCACTCATCACTCTCGTCGTCACTGTAATCACTGCCTGGACCATTGCGACCACTCCTTCGTCTCGGCAGGCCCTTTTGCAGCCTAACTTCTTTTCTCCTTTTCGCATATCTGTCTCTCTTCCTCTTAGCCTTGGCTTTGCTCTTCGCACTGGTTGTAGCCCATTGTTGCTTGTTTGCTTGCCCTGGCTCCTTTGACTGAGCCTGCTGCGAATCGTCTACCACATGCGAAGAACTCTCTTGCGCTGGGCTCGCAACATCGGGAGACGGCTTTTCGGAAGTAGATTTACAGTCAGAAGATTCGCCGTTTTCTTTCTGTAATCGCCGTTTGCGAAGGATGGCTTGGATTTCCGAGTGTCGGAACATGGCAATTTGCTCGTCAGTCAAGGTCCGCTTGGTGCCGTCAGGATAGTAGCCGAGCCCATCGTCCTCTTCGTCATAATATTCTTCAGCCGTCTCTGCCTCGTGATGTACACCGTAGAGAATATGTTCTGGCGTTGACGCGTGGGGGAAATGCTGCGCGTGGAAAGCGAGGAGATCATCCTACCGTTCTTAGTACCTGCCTAGGGGTTCGAAAACATTGATTCAACTTACGACCGTGACCGTTGGAATTTGCAGCGCCATAACTTTTTATTATCTTCTCAGAGAGTTGGGTCGAACAGCGACGCGCTCAAAGGCGCGGAATTTCACGTTGGCCGAGACATGAGTGAAAGAAGAAGAGGAATCAGTCCCCGAGCTCAAAAAGACTGCCGACGATCATTCGCGTGAGCACGAGGTCTTGGCTTCACCGCGGCATGACGTGTGTGCTGCCCACGCCAACCGCCGCGCTCACAAACAACCCTCCAGCAACACCCTAATGCACCCCGCTTAAGCCACCATGAAATCCGGATCTCTCTTCACGTACCCTCTTGCTACCATCTCTCTAATCTTCGCTTGCTCTGCGGAGTCTCGCCCGTTCGACAGCATCGTCAACTCGCTCCACATCCTGACCGAGCAATCACCGCTTCGCGACTACATCATGGGCAAACCAGAGGGGCAGGCCTCAACTGGCGTCATCATATCCGATGTTATCGGAAACACACAGGAGATTGCCATCTTCAGCGGCCTGACAAGGGACATCGACGCTGTAGCCGGACGGTTAGACAACGCAGCGCAGAACGCCACTGTACTCGCTCCCCACAACAGCGTCATGCGCGACTTGAAGAGGAAACCATGGGAAGACCCAGACGACTACAACAAACTGGGCGCCGAAGCCTACCAGGGCGCTAGCGGAGAAGACCGCGCAAAGAGCAACCTCGAGCGCTTCGTCCAGCGACACATTGTACCGGAAAGTCCGTGGGAAGAGGGCAAGAAGATCAAGACACTTGCCGGCAACGAGATCTGGTGGGAGTCCAAGGACGGCCAAAAGAAGGTAAGCATGCCCGTCAGTACAGTAGTCTGCATTGCATTCCGAGTTGCCCCACCGGACCGCAGGGCGGCCATTCGCCTCTCGGCCCAACTGCCCACGAACATATTCGATGCAATTTCCAAAATCTCCATCAAAACAACCAAAATAATTGGTGAGATGGCCGAGTTGGTTATGGCGCCAGGTTAAGGTCTTCTTAACATCATATTCCTGGTCACGAAAGTGGCGTGGGTTCGAGTCCCACTCTCATCAGCATTCGTCTGGCTTCAGTCAGATACCCCAGGTTCTTTTTTTTCTCTTGAGTTGTTTCTCTTTTGGCGACATCGAGGAGACATTTGTACTACTTTTTCTTCGTGGTGTTGCCGAAGATTTTCTTTCCAATGCTTTTTTTTCCCTTTTGCCAAGCACTACCAGATTCTGAGCTAATCGAATCTTGCAGATCCAACCCGCCAACGTCGAAATCAAGAGTATCGCTGACAAGGTCGCCAACGGTGAAGTCTGGGTGCTTGGAGGATCTCTCGCTTAGACATTTTGTTCTATGAATCATGGCTGGCCCGTGATGATAGGCAGAAGGAGGCCCTTTTTTTTCTTTCCTTTGATTGCAATGTTGGTATAGATCAAGTGTACAACTTAAGAGGATTTATCATGAACACCAGAATATTCGCCTACGTTGGCTCACTTTCCAAACATACTGCAATTCTTCCTCTCATCTTCTAAATACTCATTTCAGAATATGTGCTTTAAGCTATCACTTCAGAATGTATACGAAGAATCATCGCTATTATGTGTTTATCTTACAATCACCCAGTCTTACTTGACTGAGTAGGTTCGATCTCCTGTACTGAACTCATGGGCATCATCTACAGCATTGGCGTCTCCTCCCTCTCTCCAATGACGTTGAGGAACGCAGTGTGAACATGCTCTGTCAGATCACTGGCCTGCAGCGATCTGCCCTTCTCCTTGAAGGCCAACTTGGAGCATTCTCTCGTAATACAAGAGCCTCCATATGCTGCAAGAGCCAACGTCTCGCTCCTTGACATCTCAGTCCCGATGTCCCACAGCTTGTCGTGGTATGCCTTCCTGTAGGCTAGTAGAGTCGCCAAACTACCCGTCAGAGTATCGCCCTGACCGCCCGAGCGCTTCAAGCCACCCTCGCCCTCAGAGACCAGGGTATGTGAACCATTGGAAATGTAGTCCTTGGCACCCTTCTGGATGATCGTAACACCACCAAAAGCCTTTGATAGCTTGGAGCAAAGTTCTGAAGGATCGCCCTCATCAACGTTGACGCCCTTTGCCTTGGCCAATCTTCCAAATTCCACAACGTTGGGCGTGAGGATGCACTCCTTGCAGCCTTCAACGAGTTCAGGCCTCGTCTGTGCAAGGTACAGACCATCTGCATCCAGTACAAAAGGGATGCCCTGCTTCCTAGCCTCTTCAATCACCTTTGCGCATGTGTCTTGCATAAGTTTGTCGCGACCGAGGCCAGGACCAATTACGACAACGTGGAGCCGCGATAGCATTCCAACAACTTCTGCGCTTACACTCTCGGCACTCTCGGATTGCGCAAGGTTCTTGGACTGTCGCATGTACGGGTGTACCATAAGGTTAGGGGAGTAGGTCTTGATGACGGCGCCTGCTCCCGGCTCGCATATGACGTGAGACTGAAGTAGTGTCAGCAGATCTCCTTGCATGATGGTTTCTGGGAGATAGCACCATATCACAGCCTAGTTTTGCAGAGGCCATGGCGGAGAAGTAGGGTGCGCCAGTGTAATCTTCACTGCCACCAATGACTGCCACACGACCCAATTGACCTGTAAAAATGAATTAGACATGCATTCTAGAACCCAGAGCGGTCTCCATGCCCTTGTGGAAGCTCTCGAGCATAGGCGGTACCATATTGTACACCTTCTTAAGAAGGTCTTTCCTTGATGCGCCGGCCATTTTGGTATACTTTTGAATAACTATTAAATTTGAATATCGAGCAGGAGGACCACGAGAACAGCTGTGAAGATTTGATTGTAGGAACGATGTTGTACGCTTTCCGCATGGTTTTGTTATGGAGCTCAACGCATAGGGACGTCATAATGATGGTGGGGCATTGACGCGACGCGCCACATCTAGCAACTACGCAAACGCATAGCAGAGAGGAACAGCGGGGACAGCATAGCCGGCCGCGTACCCGAATAAGCATACGGAGGAACTTGCAAACTAGGGCTGGAAAGTATTGGTATTTATTGTTCAATTTGCAAAGACATGTTTGTACTCCACTAGCTATCATTCGGCAAGGAGCCGCCCAAGAAGGTAAATATGGGCAGCAGAAATTAGCTCGTATATCTCTCATCGAGCATAGACAGCAATGCCCGCTCAGCACTTTAGGCATAAATATTAGAAATGGCAGGGTCATTCAAACCCCGTGAAAGCTAGTGTACGCCAGAGAGAATCCTCAATATGCGGGCGTTCTAGACTCGCTCAACAAAGCCAACAAAGCCGCAATCGCTCTGAAGCATAGGGTGCAGTCCTGCGAAGAGGGCTGATAGTAGCAGAAATAGAAGAAGGAACATCTACATTCCCCTAGTTGACCACGCAGACTGAGGATGATTTAGGCAGTGATAGCGTCTGTAGTCCCGGCAACCCCGTCGACCTTGTTTTCAGCAGGGGTTTTGTCAGTAGCCTCGTCGCTGGTATTCGCTTCAACCTGAGGCGCAGATACCTCCTTGCTATCTTCTTTGTCTGCTTCTGCCATAACAACGTCGCCTTCCGCATCAGTTGGCTTCGAGGTAGTCTCTGGAGCGGCATCATCCTTTTTCGCTGCCGTCTCCTCGTTGCTCTTTTCCGCAGTCTTTTCTGCAGATTCGGACTTCTCGCGTTCTTCGTTCTTGACACCGTTCGCACCAGCCGGCTCCGTGTCGGATGCTAGTACGCTATTCCATTTGGTAAGAAGTTCAGTCGAACGCTTCTTGAAAGCAAATTCTTCCTCCATTGGAATAGATTCAAGCTTGATAATAGCCCGAAGGACCTTGTGGACCTTGGTCTTCTTGATCACTTCAGCCTCAAGATCTGCATGAGCTTCAAGCTGCTTCAGATACTCGGACATGCTTGTCATATCTTCGTCTTTGGGTGCCTGGTCGCGGGACAAAAAGCCCTTTTGGAGACGGTGTCGGAGGTAGAGAACTTGCTTCTCGCGCTTCTGTAACCACTCTTCTTCAGTCATAGCTGGCTCCTCGGGTGCTGCAGGCTCAGCCTCCTCGCTGGCTTTCTTCTTCGACTTGGGCTCCTTCTTCGTCTTTGCAGCAGATGGCTCCTTTGGTGTCTTTGTCGTCAGCTTGAGCTTGGTCTTGAGAGTCTTTGCGAACTGTCGCCATGTCAGTAGTTGCAAATCGATTCATGGATGTGATACATACCTTTCCGCTCTCGCCATCGCTCTCGCCGTCATTCTTGCGCTTCTTTGCGGTCTTGGTCTTCTTAGCTGAAGCAGCAGCATCACCAGTGTCTTCCGCATCAGCGGTTTCTGATGTTGTGGCTGCTGTGCTCTTGCGCCTAGAGGCCTTCTCGGCCTTCTCCTTCTTCTTCTGCTGCTCCTTCTGCTCCTTCTGTTCAAGGTCTTCTTGCATCGCAGATTCGTGGGCAGAGAGCATATCTTTGAAATATGCCAGATCGTGGCCCTCGGCAGCAATCTGATATGCCTCCCAGAGAGCTTTGTTCCTCTTCCCCTGGTTGCCAGTCTCCACATCCTTCTTCACTTCCTCGAGATCGAATGGCAACAGATCAGTGTTGACTTGCCACGCACTACCGACCTTGGTCAGCAACCTATTATGCAGAAGAGTAGATCGTTGTTTACTCACAATTCGTTTGTACCCAGAAACATGATAGGATACCGCCTATCTTTGGCGTTTTTGCCACCCTCAAGAAAGTCTTCTCGGTATGTGCCGTCAATACGCCTAGCACTGACAGGACGCTTGCTGAGAAGTGACTCGGGGAGCATTTCCTCGTCACATACAATGACTGGCCATGGTTGGTATCCACGCATAGCAACCATGTGCATGTCTCCCGGCGACACATTCAGGCGAAGCTCAGGTGCCTTCTTTGCCTTCTTAGCTGGTGTTTTCTTCTTGTGTTCGGGAATGCCAGCGCCTGACTTGCGGGCCTTTTTGGGAGCCGGGGTACCATTGGTCGCTGGCGCGTCAGAGGCAGGTGCGGCATCTATGAGAATATGTCAGTACATGAGCGTAAAGAGTAAGACCTGTCTGTGCTGCCTCCGGTTGGTTGGGCTGTCTACCACTCACCTGCATCATCGCTTGCAGCGACAGGCGCTGCCTGCGCGTCAGTGGTGACATCATCCTTGCTAGCAACATCTTCTTGGGTGTCTTTGTTTTCAGTCACTGGTAGACAATCATGTCAGCATCCTCTTCGCCGATTTACGAAGTAAGGTCTCTTACCTTCAGCAACGCCAGAGGTAGCTACAACGCCGTCATCAGTCGGCTTTGCCTCTGCGACGGCAGGCTGAGCAACACCATCCGTGGAGCGCGTCGCCTCCTCGGTATTGTTCGTGGCGTCCACAGGAACGGGTGATTTCGCCTCCTCCGCCATTGTGCGAGTCACGCTCACGTTTGTGTGATGTCGAGTCGACGCGTAAGTGATGCGCAGGGTCGCGATTTAGGAAGTTGATAGGATGAATGCGACAGCAAGACCGCGTGGTTGATGGTTGACAGCGCGGATTGATGATGCGCGGTGGGTGAGGTGGCTGGGTTGTTTTGTGGTGATGTGGGGAGGGCGAGAGAGAAGAGATCGGAGACGCAACTCTTCAACTTTCCAGCGACGCCAGGCGCAGCACGTGACGTTGGTCGGTCTGCCCGCAACGGGCGTGCTACTGATCGGGAAAAATTCCGAGGTGATTCACTGCCACCTCTGGATGTACCGACCACCTTCTGGCAATGTTGCAGCAAGCGTGTGGAGTGTTTGCCGTGTTGTGGGTGTTGGCTACTGCTGCTATCGCCGCCTTCCAAGGTTTGGCGGGATGCGATGACTTAGGTCCGTGCTGGAGTACGAAGCTGCTGCGCCTTTTCAGCCAGCCAACACACAGTCACGAACTCAACGCAAGGGGCTTGCAGATGGACCCTATGCGAAGAGTCTCGTCTACTGACACAGCTCTTTTGGCGGTTTCCTTTTACTCTTGCTGAGGCGTAATGGACGGTCGATTGGCTTCACATGGCATGCACATGCGACTTGTCGTAAGAAGCCTCCAGGTGAACGCGCACGTTGTTGGGAGAACCGATACTCTTCTAGATTATTCTCCCTAGCTCTTTCTCATATTGCACGGTCTATACGCTCGTCGTTAGTGAATCATGATGTTCTATCTGAGGTTGGTCATCGTGGAACGGTCAGAATGATTGCAACACATAGGAACGCTGAGCTGCGGGGTCTCGGACTTGCTCTTGGTAGGCTTGTCAGGGATGATTTGCATTTCGACTACACTTCAGCCTTCGTCAGCTCGAACACATGTCTATCCTGGGGGATGAGCAGTCACTCACTGTATTCGTTTCTCGCTCCTGGGGTGATTTCTGTATGTCTGTTTGCTATAAGGACATGTTTCCGCCTACTTACCCATATCGACGCCCGTACGTCAAGTACACGGGCTTTTACCATACACTGAAGAGACTGATGAAACACAGGGTTGCGAGAGGAAATACCCAAACCCTCGCACAAATCTGTACCAAGACCAACTGCAGCTAGTCATCGGCCACAGGAATGAGTCGTGATGGCGCGATTCCAGTTTTCAACGATCCATCAATATTTGATTCTCAGCTCTCCGCGACTTGTAGGCGTCCATCAAGCCTGCCGTTTTCCAAGCAATGCCTACATGATCCGTATGCTGAGTGATTCACTTCCGCATAGCTTACGATAGGACAATAACTTGTGTCAGGAAGGGTGGTGTTATATGCTCTCGTTACCTCATTACCATCTTCAGACTTGCCTGACTCCATCTCTTCCAAGGGCCTTGTTTCCGTCATGCTGGAAGTGACGATATTAAGGAATCGGCCAACGGCGTCACAAACAGGGAGTATTACCAGCCGCTACTCCTTTGATGGGTTCTAGAGAGTACAATCTGAGTATTATAGGCTTCTTGGAGCCAATTCGTCTTATAAAGGAGCATATGTCAAGGTGGGTTACTGCGGATATACTGAAATATGTAATCAGTATCCGACAAAGACGTTTCACTCAGTTAGAGCATTCGAGCTTAGTTGTGACCCGATAGTTGTGTAGAGACCTCGTGATCCGAACAGATTAGCTGTATGAGCTGTACTGTGAACAGGACGCCCATCTTCAGATCGAAACTTGAGTCGGATTGTTTCTGTACCTCTGTATAGACAGATCTGGGCTGGACAACCGCCCCAGATTATCGCGATCCGGGGGGCTGGGCTTTTCCGTTCCCGTGTTGGCTATCGATAAGCCAGTAGTCATCTTTCTGGGTGCAGCACATGACTGAGGCACTTGGGCTTGCCTTGGGCTTCCGCTTTCAATCAGTCGGTCCGCAACGATCTGTCGTCATGCTAGCTATTTAAACAGCCAGACTTCCTGTCGAGTGCACTGGTATGTTGAAATGGGCGACCGCAAGCTACTCGTACGGATGCGAAATACACCTTGGCCACGAGATTTCATAGCCAAGCTATGGCGCGGTGAGATGAGTGTTGTTGCGCTCCCCGGCTGTTGTATGGCTCATAAAGCATGTCCAGAGCTGCTGCTGCTTCCTATCCCGGCGGCTAACAACGACTTGGAGAGCCACCGTAAATATTTGTGCACCCTAGAAGCTCAGAATTTTTAGCTGCGCGCACTTGTAGTGCATGTATCTAGACACGCATTTCACACAATTGCCGACCGTCGGGGCGATTTATAGGAGCGATCGAGCGAGGGGTAGCGGTGCGTCGGGGGAGCCATCGTGCTGTCCTGGTATCGGGATCAATCTGACGCCAGCACAGGGGCTAGCCACTTGGGTACTGTGCAACAAAGACACGAGATGTTCCTTCGCTGGCAGGGTTGAGGGCGTTGATGGTGTTAGAAGTGGGCGGCTCTCACGAGCGAGTGACCTGCAGTTATCGCTAGTGCTCATCACGTGTGGTATCAACTGCAAAACCAAACACTGGCACAAGCAGAGCTACGTAGAATAAATGTACAGTGTGGATATGGCAGTGCGCAATTCCAAGCCACATTTACAGGAAGTAGAATAAAGCGCAATATCGAAAGCGCGGTCCAATTCAAGGCCGAGGCGTGCATTCCAGTAATCTCGAGGGCTGCAACCGCAGGCTTGTGCTGGGTCTTCACAGCCGCCTGGGACTTTCGTCACACGCTCCAAACATTGCAAAAGCCTTACCCGCTAAAGCCCGCTTCCGCGTGCTTAGCGTGATGTAACTGCAGGCCCAAGCATCTGCGGCTCTCAATCTGGGCACAAAGTTGCGCAATAAGCATCCCCACCATATTTACGTACTACCCAGTGAGCACTATGGCAGCGGATCCAAGCACTGCGAGCGACGCACCAAATGGCGACTACCAGGCACTATGGGCAAACAAATACCGAGGCGTATGTTGGTGCAATGGCCGTTGCTCCATGCCTGACTGACTGACAGCTGGTAGGCCACAGTAGAAGACCTCGATCCCCCGCCTGCCCTCTCCGTCAAGCCTACCGACCCAATCTCATGGGCGCTCATGTCCGGCCTTGAACGCGACTATACACACCTCACTGTCATTGCCGAGGCGAATCGCGCACTACTTGGATACATTAGCATCCCGCATCTCCAGCAACTTCTCAAAGAAGGCAAAGTCAAGGACAGCGACCCTGTTCAAGAGGCCATGCACAAGTTCCAGCGACGCGGCAGGAGGTACAAGGTCATCACTACAGAGACGCCACTCGAAGAGCTTGAGGAGTTTTTTAATGGCGGAGTAGATGGCAGCGGAAAGCAGGAGTTTGCGGTGGTGACTGATGCAAGCAGGAAGTTCGTGCTCGGGGTGGCTACAAGGGCGGACTTGGAGAACTTTGCGAAGAGGAGGGCATAAAGGACCTCCATGATTTACTGGGGAATGGGAGAATGAGTTCTACGGATAGGTCGTGTTGGGTGATGCATCAGGAGGCGTTTACTTGGGATACCAATGATCATCGTTGTAAAGAGAGGAATAATCCGGCGTGTGCCTCCCAGTAATCCATGGAACTCCCAAAGCCTTCCCGCCTACAGTTGTAAGAATATCAGCCCGCAGATCAAATCGGGACATGTTTAGTTGATCTACATTGCGCTAGCATGCGGTCCTGGTGGGACATGGACATTTGCCGCTCGATGGTTCAGGAAATGACCATCAAGTCTGGCCGAGCTTCAGTTGATAACCATAATTTAATGACGAGCCTGCAAATTGGCAACCACCACCAGATCCAGTCCCCCGAGACGTCATGAAGAGACCAAACGCCTTAAATGTGCTGACTCATGTTCGCACCCTAATCTCAACCCCGATCCACCGCTTGTTATGTGCATACCACACTTTCGGGTTTCCCCGCATACCGTAACCTTGGAGCACAGCGGCTCTTTATGTAGCTTTGGCCCCAGTTGACCACAGGGTTAGAACGAAAGTCCTTGAATCAACCAACTAACTTCGCCTCTCTTCTTGTAGATCGGGCAGCCGCTGGCATGCTCGCACCTGCCTTTCGCGTTCGCAGTAAGCCCCACCTCCAGCATCCACTATCACAAGCCTGGAGAACCACAACACAACAATCTACACCACACCGAACGCGCATCTTGTCCGTGACAATACACCTCAAGAAGCAGTCGAGATGGTATTCGGAAGACGTACCGAAGGCGCAGATAGGCGCTGGGACGACCACGCCCGTTCCCCCCAACGCTGACCCGCCAAAGTCCAAGCCACCCTTTTACTTTGAGGCTGGATATGCGCTGTTTGCAAAGAGACCATCGAGACCATTCCCTCCCCCGTTCCTCTCCATGCCCTCTACGAGCTTCTCGGAACCACTCAGCACGTACAACAAGAGTAGAGACCGGCGGCCGACAGTCAATGGGCAGATGATTAGAGGAGTTACAAATGGCGATGATGCTGTGCTAGTCAGCGAGAGTTTCATTGCCGCAAATGACGGCGTCGGAGCATGGGCTACTAGGGAGAGAGGGCATGCAGCGTTAGTCAACCAAAGCACTCCCAGCCGTCCATGTGGAAAGCGCTAGATCACTGCTAACACAAGACACGCGTAGCCTCTGGTCCCGCCTCATTGCCCATTTCTGGGCTCTCGAAGTAGAAGCTGCAACCTACAACGCCACAACTCCTCCAGAGCCTATCACCTACCTGCAGAATGCCTACAAGCTTACCCAACAAGCAACCTCGAAACCCAACGCGTGGTATGGCACAACCACGACGTGCGGTGCGCTTCTCAGCGCCGACAACGAAGAACCCAATCACCCAGTCCTCTACGTAACCCAGCTCGGCGACTCCCAGATCCTCGTCATACGCCCGAACACTAGAGAAGTTGTATTCAGGACAAAAGAGCAATGGCATTGGTTCGATTGTCCGCGGCAGATAGGGACAAATAGTCCTGATACGCCAAGCGAGAATGCGATGGTGGATTGTGTAGAGATTCAGGAAGACGACGTAGTAATTGCCATGACAGATGGTGTGGTGGATAATCTGTGGGAACATGAGATTGTAGAAAATGTTTGCGACAGTATAGAGAGATGGAGTGGTGACAAAGATAAAGATATAGAAGAGCAGACATACGCGGATGGCATGCAGTTTGTGGCTCAGCAACTCGTTAATGCAGCGAAGGAGATTGCTCTGGATCCTTTTGCTGAGAGTCCATACATGGAGAAGGCGATCGATGAGGGTCTGTCTATCGAAGGAGGTTAGTACCCTGGTAAACTTGACATCGACTGTGGGTTTTCTCTTGCTTAAACTAATACAGGTAAACTCGACGACATCAGCGTTGTAGCGGCTCAGTGCAAACGGCGAAAAGGTTGAGGCCTCGATTGATATGAATGACGAAAGTCTTTCTGCAAAACCGTAAATGCCTATTAGGACCCATCGGAGTCCAACTACATGCATGAGAGAATTCGCACACGATTCGTTCGTAGATGGAAACGACCTGGAAAGACACTACAATGAACCCGGAGTCACATGTCAAACAGAGCATTGTACTGTCACACTAGACCGATCCTTTGGATACTTAGCGTCTAGATTGTGCGCTCAGATATTGTCATTGTAGGCACCATATTCTGCACCAAGAATCGTTATCTGGTCAACAGGATTAGGGATGTAGGGGTCGCAAAAGAAACGGTGGTGCTCTGTGATAAAGTTGGGATGGCTTACAAGAGAGGTTACGACTCGGTCGTTAACAACCGCGTTGTTAAAAACCACCGTCCATCCTAGATTCTCAGGTCATTTATACTTATACCTGTGGCTATCGTTGGGCTTGATAAGCGCTTGTATGGTATAGGCAATCTATGGATAGACCTTGTCCATTGCCGTTGCATTCAAACAAGAAGCTTTTCCAATTCAGACCCCTACACTATAATCCACTACTTATCTACTTTTCAGTGACATCATGGAATCCGACCAGGTTGGTAATGATCATAACGCAGCTTGGCAACTGCCAATTACTATGACTCTTCCCGGAGACATGCATTTGAAACCGGTCACGACTTTAATTATATCTTACCGTCATTCTAAGGTTCTCAATGTTGTCAGCGGTCTCTGATACTTGGGCAAGGCTTTTCTGAGCTCGCATGATACACAGCATGAACCCTGCTGTACGCTGAGTTTGGACCCATATGTCCACTGCTCTGGAGAGGATACAAGGAGAAGAGTTCCGGCATCATATTGTAGGCATCATGAGTGGAGCACAGTGAACAGCACAAGAATCATACAAGTGTATTGGATGGCATCTTGTTTCAATGCCGACGTGAGTTATATGGCTACCCAAGGACAAGCTGTGCAAAACAACTGACGCTACCGATTCTGAGCATTTGAATCATTACTCTATTTACTCGTTTTTGAAAGGAAAATTAAGATCCTCAGTGGTGCGTTGGTGAGGATTAAAGTGAAATCTGCTTGGGATATCGAGGTTGACAGCAATCAGAACTTTGAGGTTCTCCTACTCAATCCACCTTGAGAACTAATTTCAAATCAAGATCTGTGTGCATGTGACATTCACGAAAAGTCCACACGAGCTGAACTACTCTTTCGAGCTGCGTTCCCTTCGAACGGGCGATCTTGATGTCGAGCGAGTGACACGACGTCTGCCCTTACCAGCTTTGCTGCGAGATCGGGACCTGCTAGAACCAGGCGAGCGTTTGCGCTTCTTGACATCAGCGCGAGAGTCAACTGAGTCAGCGGCAGAAGAAGTGGAGTATCTACGGCGCCGCTCACGCACAGGGCTTATAGATCGGGAAGACCTCGAAGGAGAGCGACGTCGACGGCGTGGAGGGCTATGTGATGGTGACCTTGTTCGGAGCCTGGGCGCTGGTGAGCTCGATTTATCACGAGGAGAACTAGATCGCGAATTATGCCTAGGTAGCCTTCTCTTGTCTTGGCCAGGAGACCAAGACCTGTCCTTGCGTGCTCCTCGACGTCTCGGAGGCGGAGAGTTGCTTCTTGAAGGAGATCTCCGTCGCGTGCGGCGAGGCGGCGACCTAGAGCGATCAAGCGATGGTGAGCGACGAGTTCGGCGCCTGGGTGGACTTCGCGATGGTCCTGACGATGGTGAGCGACGTGCACGACGAGGTGGTGGGGATGCAGAACGACTGCCTGAAGGGGAACGACGGCGCTCGCGAGACCTATCGTAACGCCCTCCACGACCGCGACCTCGGCCTCCTCCAGGGATATATAAGTCGCGCTCGCGATTTGGTGGGGAATGCCTTCTTCTTCTATCGCATGTGAGTGAGTCAACTTTATTATCTAGGGATATGGTACATACGGTGGTGATCTCGAGTCACGTCGGGGATGGCCTCTGTCAAAATCTCGGCCTCGGCCTCTACGGTCACTGCCACGGTATCGTCCGCCACCACCGCGTCCGCGTTCGGGGCGATCTGAGCGTTCGCTTTGGCGGAAGGAGTCGATCATGGCGTTCTGTGCTTGGTCCTCTGCGCGCCTTGCATCGGCAGCGGCCTTAGAAAGCTATAGACTGGGTTAGTAATGCTGGTGAGGTGAGCTCGAGATATGACATACCTGTTCCTGCTGTAATTCAGCCTTCTTCGCTTCCAAGAGCTCGCGCGGTACGCCCATGGGACTGTCTTGGGCGCTGAGCATAAGATCCCATAGCTCTTTGCAGAACGGCGCTGTATCTTTTCCCAAAAAGCCAGTAAGTTGGATTTGGATTTCCTTAATCTTTGGCTGAACAAAAGTCAGTACAAGGCTAGCGAAAAGGCGAGACAAGTGTCTACGAACAAATTGGCTTTGCTCAACCAAGTTGTAGCAGGTCTCGACCACAATGTCATCTTCATCGCCCAAGATGGTGGTGATCTTATTGGCAATCCATCTTTTCATTAGGTCGATGTTGACCTTCTCGATATCCACCTTCTTGTCAAACTCTGGCGGGAATTTGGTCGCTTTAAGGCGCTTTTGGTCGATACTGAGCGCCATGATTGCGGTTTGTAGGTGATTGTAGAAGCGACAAGGCCAGTGAGGTGTAGGGCGGACGAGATACGCGACGGTGAAAGCTAGAGCTCACTCGGGTCCATCCGCGTGGGCTTGGCGGCGACTCCAGGATTACGTCAGTCGTTCATGCAGGTACGACACATCACGCTAAGCTCTTGTCAACTAGGGCTTCATCTCTCACTCTTTCTTTCCATTGGCGTTCAAGGATGCGAGGTACAATATATTATCATGTGGAACAACAACTCAGGATGTGAAGGAGCGCAGATGAAGAGCCTGAGTATGCATTGGTTTGAGCAATGACCACATGCAGTGACAGTTTCCAGGACTTGTTCAGCACGCCCAGTTCAGCAGTTGCGAAGACGTCAAATAACAATGCGACTTGCGTGCCTGCTACGCTTATCCAGTACTTCCTGCCATGTTGCAACCCACATGCCTCAGCCATGACTTCTGTTCTGACCCGTCAACTCAATGAAAATCTCATCGCCCGAAATCCTGCTTCATCCATCGTCTTCCTCCTCTTTCATACCAGTTGCCATCACCCATTGATATTCATCTGATTACTTCTTCCAAATCCCATAGCCAATCCCCTAGACACATCTTTCACCCTGTTTTCACTTACCAAGGCAACCGTTTCGGCGGTATCGGACATGTTTGCACCAACCAAGCCGCTCGAAACCGCAACAGCCCCTCTTCCCATTCAGGCGCCTGCCGATACAACAACGCAAGGAGCATCTATTCCTGCTACAACCGAGACTATCTCGCAGCCAGTACCTGAGCTCGCTCCGGAAGTACCTCCAGCCGTACCCCTGTCAGCACCTGAGCCTCCTTCAGCTATACCTCCAGCCATACCTGAGCCTGTCCCGGAAGTACCTCCAGCACCGATCTCAAATGTGACCCAGCCAGAGTCTCTACCAGTAGCCGAGCTAGCTTTACAAGTGCCTGCCGTAGAACCAGTGGCGACAGAACCTGTAGCGCCTCTTCCTACAGCGTCGATTCCTGAAGCGTCACCCCCCACAACTTCACTTCCCGAGGGTTCGACCGCTACAGCGCCTGTTCCTGTGCCTTCTATCCCCGCAGCACCTCTGCCGGTAGCATCACTTCCCACGTCATCTCTACCCGTGGCATCTGTGCCAGCAGTGCCTCTTCCTGAGAACCCGCTGCCAATAGCTTCACTTCCCGAGACGACGCTCCCCATAGCACCTCTTCCTGTGGCATCGATTCCTACGGCGTCAATCCCTGAGACGGTTCTACCAGTAACGTCTCTTCCTGTGGCGTCACTTCCCACAGCTTCAATTCCTGAAGGGGCAGTCCCTACAACATCTCTTCCTGTGGCGTCTGTGCCAGTGGTTGCTCTGCCAGTAGCATCTCTTCCTGAGGTATCTCTCCCAGCAGCGGCTCTTCCAAGTGTACCAACGGCCCTTCCTACTGCAGGGACAGGATTGCCTCTGCCGGTTCCTACTACACCATTACCCACCGCTGCACCCGAGACACTAGCAAATGCAGCATCAGGATTAGCTCCGTCGGTTGCAACGACTACTAAGTGAGTGCACTTGATCCATTAGTCGCTATATATACACTAACAATCCCCAGAACTATGCGCAAACGTGACATGATCAAGCTGCTCGGACCGTTGCTTAAAGTCATACCCGGATGCATTCCCCTTCTCGTGCTCCTCGCTCAGAAGAGTGCAGCGGGTGTAGACATCAAGCCGATTATCGAAGCCATGGTATTGGCTGCGGGCTCGTGAATCGAGATTGAAGACTGGTATCTGGATTTGGGTGGCGAACTTCGGGTCCACTCTTCATATTCCCTTGTACCTTAAGTTGCGCACCGAGACTATCATGTAGATTGTTGAATTAATCATCATTCCTGTGCCTAACTAACCATGATTGATATTACTCCGTGGCCTCATCGCTTATCTGCTCTTCTTTTCCCTTATACTGACTACTCCGTGTCGTGATAGCGATCCAGAGGTCTTATCATGGACTCTATGCTTCTCAAATGTGTTCTTGACATGTAGGCTCAATCTTGTTTCCTCAGCAGGCAGCGCTGTGAGTACGACCAGTCTGGGAGAAGTAGAATGCCAACCCCTCGACAAGACAGAAGGACTGGGCGGAATGGATGACAGCGCATCTGACTGATCCAGTCTCCCTTGAAACTCCATTCGCGTGACCTTCTTTCTCCATACTCATTTCTTGTCCCACATCCATCACTCTGGTGTATCCCTTGTATCTCCATACATCTCATCTTATCAATATCTCCATCACCCCCCAACAGCCCTCTCTACCATAGCCCTCGCTTCCTCCAACCCCCGACTCAACTCCCCTCTCTTCTGCGCTTCCTTGACTTCAAAATGTAACTTGAGTAGGTCCTTTGCGCGCTTCAGATCAGGATCCGATTCATCTTGCTGTGTCGTTGGTGTGGTGTTTGGCTCAGCGGGGGCAGTGGTGTCTTGGGTAGTGGTAGAAGGAGAAGAGTCGGGGCGTGCGGAGACGAGGGCGAGGGCGGCGGCGGGATCCTGAGGTACTTGGTTAGTTTGCTGGAGAACAGGGAGAGTAATGGAGAAGGTACGTACGCAAACACGTAGAGAGACGATATCAGAGAGGATCTCTGCTAGTTGCATGGTGTTTTCTTTCAGCGAGGCCTGGTCTTCTGCCATTGTGTCTTTTGTCGCCTGGTATATCCCTCCTGTAATGATTGGTTTCTTTCTTCAAGGCAGGCTGAGATAATTTGGACGGTTATTTCCTAGTATGAAGCACAGAATGTAGAGTTTTCGTTCAGCCAGAAATATGGTACTCGAAGTTTGGATTTACGGGCAAGCATGTGGGGATGCATGTGCATGTCACAGGGAAGCTCTGACGTTACCAATCGCGCCTGCCCCACGTTCGGTTCGCAGCCCGTAGCGTGGCTTTTTCGTGGAGCACATCCGTCAGCTGCCGGGTAAGTGCTTTACCGAATTCGCGCAACGTCTTTCCTAGCTACTTCGTCACGTCATTTGCTTGAGCTTTGCGAATAACCCTCTAATTTTGACCACATTGTTCTTGAGACGATCATTTTGGATACCAATTGGCTATCATGGCTAGTATACAGGCTATCCGGGCTAATTGCCGCAAGGTATGTACTATTTTCGACGCATAATCAATAAAGGAGTGTAGGAGGAATTGAGAGGAATTTAAAAGTTTCGACATAAGATACTAGAGGAGAAAGAGATATTGAAGGAAAGAGTAGGGCCATTGTCTTTATCGTTATGGGAGAACTCATCCTTATCAACAATCAATCGTTAGAGCTAGGTAGACAGGGAGCAGGTTGCAGGTTGGGAACACGACTAACATTCTCAAAGGTAATGTGTATAGGCAGAAACTATGCCGATCACATCAAAGAGCTCTCGAGTGCAACCCCTAAGCAGCCTTTCTTCTTCCTTAAGCCCCCATCGTCCATACTGCTTCCTGGCGCGGGGCCTGTACTACGACCCCGGGGTGTGATCATGCACTACGAGGTTGAGCTGGGCCTCGTCATGGGCAAAACAATTCGGGATCTCCATCCAGAGGATACCAAAGGCGCTATGGATGCCATTGAAGGTATGTTCAACGTAACATCTAAACCCTTACTTGAAATATGCAATACATAACGAAAATTTAATACTAACACTTCTCCCGGACAGGCTACATTCTCGCTATTGATATGACGGCGCGCAACGTGCAAGAAGAAGCCAAGAAGAAAGGCCTCCCCTGGTCCATCGCAAAAGGATTTGATACCTTCATGCCTATCAGTAACTTCATCGCCAAGAACCGGATCCCAAACCCACAGAATGCCCATCTTTGGCTTACCGTCAACAACGAGATGAAGCAGTCTGACAATACCGAACTAATGCTCTTCCGAATTCCACGACAACTGAGCGACATTAGCAGAGTAATGACACTGGAAAAGGGTGACATTGTCCTTACAGGTACGCCAAAGGGTGTAGGCCCAGTAAAGACTGGTGATATCATGCGTGCGGGTCTCAAAGTTGATGGAAAGGATATCGAAGAGGCCAACATGGAAGTTCCAGTTGCAGATAGAGAGGGCCTGTATGAGTTCAAGGAGACCTAGAGTAGTATGTAGCTCACTCTGTAGTGTCAAATACACAAATTCTAGACGTCACAAGCACCCTAGAGACCTCTGTAAGTATCAAGGCCTTGCTTCTCTGATCGGCTCGTCGTCAAGATGGAAGTGGCTGATAGGACTACGCTCCCCCAGAAAGTTATGTCTTTCGGGGGCTCACTGTTCGAGATGATAGATGCGAGTCGTCGCTGGCGGCGCAGTGTGGTCCTTGTCTCACCGGAGCGATTACTGATTCATCTTGAGGTTGCCCACCCCGAGAATTTGCCGCATTCTTAGGTATTTTGAAGGACGATCGCGGTCCAGTTCCTGCTTTTCGCAGTGATCTTCGTACCCCGGCTGCTTCACTTGGTAAATGGTCTATAAGCCCCGTATCGACGCGATGATGTTTTCGTGGAGATGACAGTTTCACTATTAGACTTTTTTGAACTTCTGGACATGTGACCACCGGAGGTGGAGTGGAATTTTTCTTCTTCTTTGGTGAACCAGTAGCCTTCAATTTCTTCCGTGGTGAGGATATTGGCTCAAATTTAGGTGCTGATTGGACTCCTGGGACAGTGTTCGATCCTATCGATGTCTGCATCTCACCTTCTCTCGCTTCCATTTTCTTAGCCGAAGAACGCGTTAGTCGTTGTGATTGAAGCTCAGGATGGGGTTGCTTCCGCTTTCGGGGTGGTCTCCTGGCTACGAGCTGTGTGGCTGGGGCTACGCTTGCTGGAGCTTTGTCTATAGGAAGTGGTGCAACCTTCTGCTGTGGCTCGGGCGTAGGTATAGGCTTCTTGCGTTGTCGCTCTCTGGAAACAAGCTGTGTAGGTGGTGGAGAGGCATGGTGTATATTGAAACATGGATTCTTGGCAGGTGCTGGCTCAAAATTTTTCTCTCCTATAGGTCGCGATACATTCAAATCATGGATTGAGGGTCTTTGACTTGTATGATCAGGTAGACTGAGGCTATTGCAGTCTTCGGCAGGAGGTGCAATAACGGCCGTACCGTGGCTTCTGTGAGCCGTGGTCAGTGATTTATTTGGCAACCACCATATTCTTGGGCTGATACTCACGTTGTTTGTATTACAGGACTTTGGGGGACTTGTATTTCCTCGCATGGGGTTGTTTGCGAAAGGAGTATTGACTCGCCATTCGGTCCAGTCATTTCGTCCACTAACCCACAATACAGTAGCTGTGACTCTATTAACTCTGCCTCGGTGTATGTTCTTGGCGTTGGTCCCACTATTGCACACAAATTATCAGTAGGTTCGCTTTCCCGTACAGACTTGAGACGGCCGATCTCTCGTTCTAGACTTTGGATCCGATCCGCATTCTCCTTGCGGTTATGCTCAAGAAGTTCAAGGCGTCGGAGGACAGTGTCCAATTCCATGGGCCTACGGGAGAGCTTCTCCAACATTTCTGATAAGCTCGATACCTTGTTGCCAAGCTCAATCTGCTTCTGTTGGATGTTCTTGTTGGTGTCGACGAAAACACTGAGTCGCGTCATTTCGCCCGAGGCCCACTTCTCGAAAGTCTTGTCATTATTTCCCGCCTCAATGGCAGAGAGTTGTTGTTCCAAATGACGAACTTGTACTGCAATGGGTTCTGCCGCTGCCGCAACAGCTTCAGTAGCTCGTATCCGAGCATCGTAGCCTTCATGCTGTTTCTGAAGTGTACGCATCTCTGTGAGCAGGAATGCATGTTGTTTCTTCATTTCCGGCCCCCAGAGCAGTGCCTCTGCTGATGTGAAAGGCATGCGTGACGAGCCTGCATCATTGGCCGTGCTAGGTCGGCGAGACGTCATGATAAAGACGGCGACTGCTGAAGCTTGAAGCTAATAGAAGATCAGTTGAATTGCGGACATGGTGGCAGAGTGAAGACGGACTTGACCAAGCGAGTTCCTTGACAGTAGATATGGGGTAGAACAAAACGACTTCTACTGGCTAAAAAAGCGGCCTGAAGGTAAAGCTAGGAGTGTGGTGAAGTGTGAGAGAGTGGACTGAAGCTACAAGGAAGCCGCACCTCGTGCCGTGCCTACCTCTTTCATCCAGACACACCACAAGCTGCTTAGTCCCGGCTCCAAGACATTCATCTATGAGAGAACGACAGCGCCACAAGTGTAGTAAAGTCTTTCTTATTGCTTGCTACCTATCAAGTACCCTCCCACTTCCAACCCAGTAGGCTTAAGCAGTCCGCTTCGGCCCTTTCGGTACATCCCCCGCATCATCTCTTTTCATGATGCGGATCTTGGTGTCCTTCTTACTGTCTGCATCTGATTCTGACTCCTTTGCCCGCTCCGCAACGGATTTGTCGTAGCTGCTCGGGTCGATACCAAGAATGCCGCCGACATTGTTACGGTCACCAGGCACAGAGAACTCACGGAAAGCATATCTCCACTCATTCAAGAAACCTCGGATAGCCTTTCCTACTTTGTCCTTGCCATTCTTGGAATGGTGACCAGTTCCAGTAATGGCATAAACGGGGCGGGAAGATGAGCTATGCTTCAGCAGAATGCCCTCAAGATACGATACCGATTCATCTGGATGCAAACCTAAGAGGTATGAGCAATGGTTGCTATCCTTAACTAGTTGGATACGTACCATGGAGATCAACATACAGCTCTCTCGAGCTATCATTATCCTTGTTACGATCTTCGTATAGAATACGGGCGGCTTCCCGATGAGCCTCACGCATCAGGTTGTTCTCAGTCTGTCCTCTAAGGCTAAGAGCCTTGGCTGCGCGCGAGTCACTGCGGTTCCAGGCCTGTGCAGCACTAGTAACGTGTCAGTAGGTTCTTACTCGTCGACTCTAACAATAACCTACCTCTGCAAAAACTTATTGCGCAGACTGCCATGTTTGAAAGCCTCGGCGCGAGCATCGAGATATGCCTGATTACCTTTCTCACCCGTGACTAGCCACGGAATGTGCTGGGGAGCGGGAATTGCCTGTGCAGCAGCGCTATTCTCACGAGACCCATTGAAACTCTTGGTTGGTCGTAGACCCTTTCGAACGGGAGTTGCAGGAGCTGGCGAAGGCGACATGCGGACAACATCTGCAAGGTTCGGTCCTGGAGTATCTTTGTTGCCGTGACCACCACGTTTTCCGTGATGTCGCTTTCCAGTCTTTGCAGCTGCTGCAGATCCCAAGGCAGGAAATGCGTCTTTGTCGTCAACTGCAAGCACAGAGGGTGTGGTTGCACGGGAGACTTGACGACTGCCTGTCCTTGACTGCGGCCGACTGCCGGCTCCAGGCGTGAAGTTAGCATACGGGCTAAGACCGGGTGGAGGACGTGTAGGACCACCACTCGTAAAACCATAGAGCTGTTCCAAGGCGGTTGCTTCGGTGGTGGATATAGACGGTGTACCTAGGGGAGAGCCATTGTAGTGAAGAGTGGGGAATTCATAGTCGGACATCTGGAAGTTGGGCAGTGGTGAGGTTGAGGTATCCGAAACCGCCATACGAGCCATGAGAGCAGAAGGGTCATGTGAGAAAAGACAGGTATCTCCAGCCAAACAGTTACCGTTGAGAAAGTATCTGATCACACGTTAGATTTGAGCCGACTTGAAACGGATACTTGATACCTACTTGCACAAAGTCTTGCTAGTGTCATGAGCAAACCGGCAATCCGCCCTAGCACAATGACCGTTGGATAAAAAGTATTTGCACACAATATTGCTCTTCTGTTGCCCAATGGGCGTAGCAGGTCTAAAAGTTGGGGCCATGGACTTTCCGATGAGATATCCAGACTGCTCTGAAGGGGTAGCGGGGAGCTGTGATGCCTCCATCTGCTGACCCATTAACGCAAGCAGAGCAGCACTGAGGTCATAGCCGTTGGCCTCGAGAACCTTTTCTAGCTCCTCGTCCGACCGGTCGTCACGCAGGATTGAGCGTAACATATCATATGGACCCATATCCATGGTTTGCGGCTGAACCCATTCGGCGGCGGCACCATTGAGCGTACCATCGCCTACGTACGACGACTCGGTGCTTGCAATGTCCTCGTTGACTAGCCAATCCACCGAGTGTGTATCAAGATCACCATATGTTTCTGTGTTCGGGCTGGCGCATTCGCTGAATTGGTATGCGCTCAGACTGGGGCTGTGGGGAATATGGGGTGTTGAAAAAGCAAGCCGTGGCGAGGGTCGTGGGGAAGTAAAAGGTGAAGCGGTTGAAGACTTTGTGCGCGCAAAGCCAGGGGGTCCTATTCCAAAGCCTGGAGGGGGGTGTATCATGCGTGGAGAGTTGTTGACTGGAGTCGGGGCGCGGTTGGCCTGCCACGGGGCTGGAGATGGCCGGCGGATGACGGTATGACGGCTGGGTGGAGAGCTGGATGAGCTGCCGGCATCGCGGTAACGCCACAGGCAGTCGAGGACAATGTTCTCGAGAGACTTGCCTGTGAGATTGGTCTCCTTGCGCATGAGCTCCTCGAGCTTGTCCGTCTTGTCCTCCTCGTCCAAGGCATCATCCTGCAGTACAGGCAGAGCCTTTTCATACAAATCGTCTGCGACCATGTTGATTAGTTGCAGACGCAGAAAAAAAGGGAATGGTAGATATGGCGGTGAGGGGGGCGCGTGGGATGGACGAGGGTAGAGAGCGAGGTCGAGACAGGAGGCCGTCGGGCTGATTAAGTACTGCGGTTATTGGCAGAGCGACCGGCGCGTTCAGAAGAGTGAAGCAGCAACGGGAAGGGCAAACAGTTTGTCCTACAGCTTTCTGTCTGCAGGACACACAGCGAGTGCGCCGAAGAGGACAGAGCCAATGTATGCCTTGGGGGGCGGGCGATCGCGAGCGCGAATGAAGCTCAAGGGACTAGGCTCAGGCCGCTCAACTACGTAGGTAGGGGTGGGGGGAGCCTGCACCGTGCAGCAGGTCAACCATATAGCGGGAACAGGCAATCTGCACACTGGAATCCCAGCAGTCCCTACATGGCCCTCAGAGCCTCGAGATGCATTCGGATGGGAACGGTATGGGATGGAGAGTCTTGGCCAGATGCGGGATGGGATGGACAAGGCTGGCGACGGGTCGATGGACAATTGGAGCCTGGACACCACGAAACGAAGCTGCTACATATGCCTCAACCCTCTTTTGCTAATGGGCCAAATTGAGGGGGGCGCCACACTTCTGAGGCTGAGGCTGGCCAAAGTCACGTGCAGAGCCTACATACGGTATCCGCACCATGACTGGCATGCGGTACATCACCTGCAGCAAGCCCTGCGTGTCTGCGCAAAACAAACTACGTGTGCTCTTCGAATCACGCCATCTTCGAGTCCTTGGATAAAAGGACTCAGCCACGCTGCGACTCCGTGGCTGTCCCGGCACATCTAATATACGCGCCTAATGCAGAGCGGGTGCGGCGGTGCATCATTGTTCGTCCGCCCGGGATGACGATGAAACCAAAAGCTGTCCAGCACCAGCACTAGCTTTAGCATCTTACACCAACACCCTCGATTGTTTCTGACACCCGATTACCAATCCACGGAATGTCCCCTTTCAGCCATCCCAACTGACGATCCCTTCCCCCATCACCTGCCATTACATCTCTCTTACCTCCGCGTACGTCCGGGTCGCTCCATCCAGGCCACCACAGCACATAAACAACGAGGCAGCTATGCCGGCGACCGACTATGATGTGCGCGCCCTTGCGCTTCCGCTTGAAAACGAGGAAACGGGTGAGACGCCAATATGGAGTCAGCGACAATCATCCACCTTCCGGCGCAGCGCTTCGCATAACAGCCAACAAACCACATGGCGGCAACGCGCAATGGGCAACTGGGACAAATACTCGCGGCGAGCCCTGGACCAGTACAACAAACTATCGCCTGTCAAGAAAGTATTGTTCATTATAGGGAATATACTCTTGCTTGTGGGCGGCATACTGTTCTTGGTGTTCGGTGAACGGATATTCGGCGCCCTGCTGCCTACGGCGAAGAAGTGGAGGGATGTCACAGCGGGCTGGCTGATACTCTGGGCTCTGATATTCATCGTCTCCTTTCCACCTTTGATTGGATATTCCAGTCTCCTTACCATTGCCGGTTTCGTTTATGGCTTTCCAAATGGGTAGGTTTAAACCACCAATTCACCAGGCGACTCTTGACGGTAGGCTGACTCGACACAGATGGTTCATAGCAGCAACAGCGTCAGTCGCTGGCAGCACTGCATCGTTTCTCCTTTCGCGCACGCTTCTCAAATCCATGGTCCACCGCCTCGTAGCGAACGACACCCGCTTCGCTGCCCTCTCCCTTACCCTCAAGCATGATGGCATCAAACTCCTTGTCATGTACCGCCTGTGTCCACTACCATACTCCATATCCAATGGTGCTGTAGCCACCTTCCCAACCGTACACTGGGCTTCTTATGCCCTGGCTACTGCCATTGTATCACCCAAGTTGATGCTCCACATCTTCATCGGTGCACAATTGGAAAAGATTGCCGAGAGCGGAGGCAAGATGGACCCGCGCACAAAGGCACTGTCCTACATCTCCATCATTATCGGACTAATTGCAGGCGTAACCACTGGCTGGCTAGTCTACCGCAAGACAAAGGCCCGGGCTGCCCAGCTCGAAGCTGAAGAGCGCGCTGGTGTCCGACGTGTAAGCATCGAGGACTTGGAGAATGAATATCACGATGACCCAGGCGCGCTGGAAGCTGCCGAGCGGTTACGAGAAGATGATGATGACATTAGTCTGAGGACAGCATGGGATGATGAGTATCATGATGAGCCCCCTGAGACGGGTGATGCAGTGGAAATTGGTGATGACCCCTTTGAAAACGGGGATGCGAGCGAAGGAGAGGAGCAACACCAAGGGACGAAGAAGTAGACAGGCATCTATTGGATAGATTGATGGTTTTTGGATAATGCGATTAGATGGCTAGACTGGATAATGGCATCGAACAAGTTGAACAATCAGTTCCGTATTCTAACATCGCCTGAGATGAATAGCCAACAAGGACATGAGTAGTGTCCGGTACAATCGACAATGGCGATTCCAAAACCCCTGTAGCTGTCCTGTTACCAATCCCTTTTTGGGATGCAGTCAACACTACCTGTCCAAGAAGAAAAACTAAGACAGCTAGTAGTACTAGGACGAAGAAACGGTAGTATCGAATCCCCTCTAAGTGACCCGCTATCACACCTCATGTTGGACATTGTCAGTATCGTATCAACTTTCGATGGGAGATTCCAGCACAATGACACAGTGAACAACCAAGCATTCATAATATAAGAAAACATTCATTTGTCGTATGTAACCTATTCCATAACACCATCTCTATAGGCAGGAATAGACTCGCACATGGGCGCTAAAATGGGCATATAGAATCACAAGGAGTAGTCGTCGTTGATGATATAGACAGGCGTGCGATACCTAGCCATCTGTGAAGTGAACAAGCAAATCTTCCATTGACAGCTGATGGTGAAGACGCATCTTCTATTATACATCTATTCTCAAAGACCAATCAGCGCTTTTTGGCCCCTCAGAACATTGGAATAGACCGTACACACTCTTCCATCCTTCAACCCATCTATGCAACGAAGCTCTTGGTGAAGCTCTGGGCAACCTCCTTCAGCTTGGCCTCAAGCTCCTTGCTGAGAGCACCTTCCCGGTCGATCTGGGCGAGCATGTCGGACTCGTTTGATCGGAGGTGGGCAAGGAAGTCAGCCTCCCACTGGAGAATCTTGTTGGTTGGTACGTTGTCAAGGAGACCGTTGATACCAGCGTAGATCAGGGGAACCATCTCGTTGACGGCCATAGGAGAGTACTGCTTCTGCTTGAGGAGCTCGGTAAGACGCTCACCACGGGCCAAGGTCTGCTTGGTAGCGGCATCGAGATCGGAACCGAACTGGGCAAAGGCAGCGACTTCACGGTACTGGGCCAAGAAGAGCTTGAGGGAACCAGCGACCTGCTTCATGGCCTTGACCTGGGCAGCGGAACCGACACGAGAGACAGAGAGACCGACGTTAATGGCGGGGCGGATACCCTTGTAGAAGAGCTCAGCCTCCAAGAAGATCTGACCGTCGGTAATGGAAATGACGTTGGTAGGAATGTACTATGTCAAAAGTTAGCATTTTGGAACGGCCACAGCAAGGCGAAAAGGAAAAGGGAGACAAACCGCAGAAACGTCACCACCTTGAGTTTCAATCACAGGAAGGGCAGTGAGCGAACCACCACCGAGCTTGTCATTCATCTTGGCAGCACGCTCGAGGAGACGGGAGTGGAGGCTGTCACATGTTAGCACAAGTCAGGTCCATCGCATTTGAACAAAAAGAGTGACTGACTAGAACACATCTCCGGGATAAGCTTCACGGCCCTATTAAATAGTTAGCAATAGTTAATAGAGGCGTTGGGGATGTGTTGGTGTGGGTTGGTGTTGAGTTTAGTGGAGAATGATCAGGTGGTCTGTGCATGTGTTGGTTATGGTCCGTGCGCGAACTTACAGGAGGACGACGGAGAAGCAGCGACATCTGACGGTAAGCGACGGCCTGCTTGGTCAAATCATCGTAGATGATGAGAGCGTGCTTGCCGTTGTCACGGAACCTAAAAAACAATGTTAGCTGGTGGATCTTAGGGAAAACAGCAAAGCAAAACGAAATTCAGTAACATGGTGGCCAGTCCGATGCTGTCGTAAGGTTGAATCGAGATTGCCGAAGTGGGACAATGTCCGCGTCAATTGACTTTCGTAGGGGTTGTTGTCGGGTGTCCAAGATAGCGCGATATCCATCTTAGCCAATTGTCGTGGGAAAAGTCTTAAGGCTTCCAAAATACAATGGTGACAGCAATAAGGACTTTTCGTTGCAGAAGTCCCTAGTCTTCTGAAATGCTTCGTAACAGCCACGACAATTTCTGTAAGGAAAATTTTCCAGTTTTCGACAAGGCATGACAGCCGCCGTGACAAATTTTCGTGAGGGATTGTCCTAGGTTTCCAAAGTGCCATGGTAACCATCTCGAAAGAATGTCTTTGGGCTTTGGAGAAGCTTCGAGTGTCCAAAGTAAACGGTAGCCATTTCCATGGAGGATTCCAGATTTTCACACAATGAAAGTAGAAAAACATAAAATTGAAGAGCAAACAAGCGGATACATACCATTCTCCCTGTGAAAAAGTTAGTCATCAGCTAAGCCTCAAAATTTACTTGTGCGGCTTACCATTGAGCAACCGGTGAAAGGCGCGATGTATTGAAGAGGAGCAGCTTCAGAAGCAGTAGCAGCGACAACGATGGTGTACTTCATGGCATCGTTCTCCTCAAGGGTCTTGACGAGCTGAGCGACGGTGGATCGCTTCTGACCAACGGCGACGTAGATGCAGTACAGCTTCTTGGTCTCGTCGGTACCTGGCAGCTAATGTCAGTCATCGACGTACTCATAAATTCGACAGAGTTCCCTACCCTTGTTCCACCTGTTCTGGTTGAGCATGGCATCGAGAGCGACGGCAGTCTTTCCAGTCTGACGGTCACCAATGATCAACTCACGCTGACCACGTCCAATGGGAACCATGGCGTCGACGGACTTGAGACCAGTCTGTACGGGCTGGTTGACGGAACGGCGGGGCAGGATACCGGGGGCCTTGAGCTGAGCACGACGGCGCTCAGTGGTCTTGAGGGGACCCTTTCCATCGATGGGGTTACCGAGAGCGTCAACGACACGTCCGAGGAGAGCCTCGCCAACGGGAACGTCGACAATCTGTCCGGTACGCTTGACGGTCTCGCCCTCCTTGACCAAACGATCGGAACCGAAAAGCACAACACCGACCTGGCCGGCTTCCAAGTTCATGCACATGCCCTTGACACCGGAGGCGAACCTGGGCGAGTGTTAGCAGGCCCCGTGGGGAAATAGTGGTGTTGTGGATTTGGCGTACTCGACAAGCTCTTCGGCCTGGACATTGTTCATGCCATGGACACGAGCAATACCGTCACTATTCTGCAGTCAGCTTCCCTGCCTATTTATTTGCATTGGCAAAAATGGCTTACCCGACGGAGAGAACACGACCAGTCTCGGAGAGGCTGGTCTCCTCCTGGACACCGCGGATCCTCTGCTCAAGGATGGAGGAAACTTCGGTTGGGGTCGCCTTTGCGTCGGAAGCGTAGAAGCGCGTAGCGTTGGTGAATGCGGGAGCGCGAGTCTGTTGGTAGAAAAAAGCCGTCAGCGCTGCATCTTCGGAAGAGGGGAGCTTCCTTGGTCCCGCCGCAGTGCTGCGCAGGCCGCCCATTTCCATCAACGAAGCGCCATTGTGGAGCCAATGGCATCGGAAATCGGTTCTATGAATGGCGGGCGATGGCTGGACCGAGAGAAGGCGCAATTGCAGGCAGTTGCGATGGACTTACCGAAGCAATCCTGCTGGTAGCAGAGATTGCAGCGACCCGGCGGCTCGACTGGCGGATGGCCCTTGAGAACATGGCTGCAGCTGCTCAAGAGACTATTTTGGTAGCTCTGCAACCAATTGAGATTGATGCAGGTATGGAAGAGGGGAGATGGTGATGGAGTTGAGGATGGGAGCTCTGCTGTGAGGGAGAAAGTCCTGCGGTTCGGAAGGAAAGCGCGGACCTTGGCGTCAACCACTAATCCTAAAAAAGCCGTTTCTCAACCGAGCTCCAACTTTACCACGACATCCACGCTCAAATTCGAGGAGATTTGGCAAGGTCAAAAGCTGGAAAATGAAGGTCTAGAGACTTCAATTGGTAATAAGAAAGCGGCTGGGCCCCTCGCATTCCTACGTGAGAGTGGCTACTGCGTGGAATACGAGCTCACATCCCACAAGCTGCCTTATCGATTGGCTGTCACAATGTCGACATACAATTCAAGGGTCGAATCCTCAGCCATGTGGACATTACTTGGAAGACTCACAGCGTACTTCCAAAGGAAAGACATTTTACGATGGATTGTCATACGCTAACACAATAGTCTGAGCGAACAACGTTATAGATTGGTATCCTACTATGTTGCAACCCCTTCAGCAGAAATATACGGACAAAATGTGCAAAACTAACAACCATAGGCGACACAACTCCGTATACGCCTTGCACCATGCAATGCTCACTCTGCTGTAGTATCCATACATTACATGCGCATCCCAGGGCAGTGCCGCCTGAACGCATCCTTCTATTACCTCTGATAGAGACATCACCATGCCTCACTTGTGCTCTGGCCATCAAATCCATATTTCAAGTATCGAATTATTTTGCCGAGCCATTCTGACCCTTTTCCTTGCTCTTCTGAAACTTCTGGATCTCTTGCTCAACAGCCTGATCTATACGACGTTTGAGCTCTGGACGGTAGCCGAGCATGAAGAGAACCTCGAACCAGACAAAGAACGGAGCCAGGAAGATGGCTTGAATGAGGTTGTCTAGCAATGCTGGCGCCCTTCCCTCAAACTTTCCATGTCCGACAAACTGCGCAATCCAGCATGCAATGTTGATTGCGCCAGCCCAAGAGTTGACTGACGCGCCGTACGTAGACGTGAGGTGATTCGCATACGCGGTGCTACCGATAAGGATCGGGGCAATCATGGCTCCTGCGACAGGCTCCATGAGGACATATAGGGTCGAGTAGAGTACAGCTCCGGCGGTGCCGATGTTGAGCGGGAGATTGGGAACGGAAAGCCATGATGGCAGCGGCACGGCCGGTGTGTTGGTGAGCTATGATTCGGATTAGTGGGGCCTGGGCGGTGACAATTCAGGGGCCATACAAGGAGAAAAGATGTCAAGAGGATGGGAGGTACGCAAAGCATATGTATCCCCACGTTAACCTGATGGGCAGCGCGTTAGCTGACATGTGAAAACGGCCGGGCGGAAGAGGCCTACTTTGTTATGGTGGTATGCTCCATACTACTGTCCAGTTAGATCGATACATGTGTATGTTGAAGAATGACGTACAAAGACAAGTTGTTTCTCCAGATTCAGAGACATGGTGCCGGATGCGGAACTTGAGCTCGTGTTGGCGTTGCGAGAGGGTGTCAAGCGACTAAATCATATCTTGGAGATGGGGGATGCGAGCGCTTGACGAGTTGCGGGGAGTCAGGGCAGCGTCCGTGGAGGCCCGAGGATGTGCGGATGGCGCAAAGTGAACGTTAGTATCACGGCATGGGTGTGTGGGGGTGCGCAAGCTGGCAGGTGGGAGTCTGGTCACTGCTTGGGCCTTAGCGAATGATTTTCCGTGCCGAGAGCCCTGGAGCCCTGCATCTTCGGAAGCTCAACGTTCAAGTCGCAGCACTCGACTGTTTTTCCCAGCCCTCCACCAAACTTCCCCGAACCCGCTACCGCTGTATCCCCGGACTACCACGAGCAGCGCGCATACACTGTGGGCTGTGCGCATGGGCTGCTGGACATAACAACTAGGGCTGGCTTGCAGGCCGAGGGCGCGTCTCGCTGAAACACGCGCGCTGTCTACACTACACACTGTCGACTCTTTACTGGGCCCGTCAGAATAAAGACTTTTAGAGTCGCGTAATACCAAGGAGCATCGCCTGGCTTCCTTCGCCTTCTACCATCATCTACCTTTCACCTGTGCTACTCCGTCCATATTCTCCAAGAAAACCGCGCGCATCTACCCTACCCTATCCGTCAAGCTAGTCGCATACCATACAACATGTTTTTTCTCAAAGAACTCGAGAAGACGATTCAGCTGCACCCGTCGTACTTTGGTCCTCTCATTCGCCAGCATATCCACCGCGAACTGTTGCAGAAAGAGGAGGGATCGAGTACTGGAAAGTATACTATTGTGTGCATCTTGGACTCGTTTGACATATCCGATGGCAAAGTCATGCCTGGCTCCGGCTCCGCTGAATACGTTGTACATTACAAGGCAGTTGTGTGGAGGCCGTACAAAGGCGAGGTGGTATGTGCAAACTGGGCGTGCGACCGCGGAATGCTCAGCTAACCGTGTCAAGATGGATGGCATCGTCACCTCAGTACTCCGCACAGGTTTCTTCGTAGACTGTGGGTCTTTGCAAGCATTCGTAGGACGAAGTGTAAAATCTCACCTCCCTATGTGCCTCCCCATCCACTAACAGGGACTAGATGATCCCTGCCGAGATCAAGTTCGACGCGAACGCCACACCGCCGCAATGGACCGACGACGGAGAACAGGTTATTGAAAAGGGCACCAACATCCGCATCAAGATCAAGGGTCTGAGATCTGAAGTTGATAAGATGTACGCTGTAGGCACAATGAAGGAGGTAGGAACTTTCAGAGCCAATCCCGTTGACTACCTACTAAGCAAAACTGCAGGATTACCTTGGCCCACTGCCGTCTTAGTCTACTGCTAAATCACATTCTGTTTGACACGGGCGATTCCCCCAGCCAAAGCTCTACGCTAGCACTCGATACTTCTCAGGTTCTCCTAAGCCTAACATCTTCCCATGACAATTCTTCCGACAACCATTCTGCAAGATAGCTACCACCTTGATCTTAGTAGTCTCTTGTTCGTATCAGTAAAAAACTCGGGGACGTTGTGTTAGTCAACAAATTGGCCACAATTTCGTTCAAGTGAGAAAGCTCCAGAGGCTCGGCTTATCACAATTGCAAGGAGGGAACTGATGATTTCCAAAGTTGGAAGGAATAAGCGGAAACTATACCGTTCTAAAGTCGTCCTATTTTGGACTTGAATAGAAATTTATCTCTTGGATTCTTTGTGTTGCGTTGGCGTTCCCCCCTTGCATCAGAGAGTGGCTTGGTATGTTTCGGGCCAACTCCAGCTCTGACACCTCCGCGTGAACTCCGCACCTCCGCATGCTAGCCTATACGTAACCCCTAACCACACCTCGCAGCCGCATACCAATTTCTGGAAGTGGTCTACCGCGATCTGCATTGCTCTTTTATCAGGATGCGTTGATTCCCAAAGTGATCCTGTTCCTTTTAAATTCACCACGTTACAGCTACGATGCCGCGACACAGCGCCCTTCCTGAAGAGGAAGCGGAGCTTCTAACCAAAGACGAGCGATCCGCGCGCACCTCAGAAGACGGGTCCGATGCCTCTATATCGTCCATATCCACCACGTCGCTAGTTCTCGAACACATCAACAATCCAGCAGTTACCGGTGCATCGCGTTTAAATCGTGGAGAAAAATACACGGACGACGACGATGCAAGTCACCCACACGAACAGTTTGACATCGAGGGCGCACAATACCGCACCCCAACAGGGGTAGATAAGAAGACGCGAAGGTGGTTATGGATTGTAGGCACCGCATGTGTAGCAGGATGGACGCTTGCGCTGGTGTTCTTCTTGATGAGCGGCACCTACAAGCCTGTCTCGAGCCGGCCACACGATCCTCTCGCGAGCTCAACAAAGGGCTCAGGAAAGAAGATCAGCATGGATGATGTTCTAGGTGGTCGATTCTACCCTCAACAACAGAGCGTCGAGTGGATAGCAGGCCCATCGGGCGAGGACGGCTTGTTGCTCGAGAGAGATTCTGGGAAAGAGGGATACTTGGTAGTCGAGGATATCAGAAGCAAGGGCAAGGCGAGGGCTACGGAAGCACAGACTACACTTATGAAAGAAAAGAGCTTCACGGTGGACGGGACATCTGTCTATCCTAATGATGTTTGGCCAAGCAAGGACTTCAAGAAGGTACTGGTCCTGTCGAATCACCAGAAGAATTGGCGACACTCTGGTACGGGCAAGTACTGGATATTCGATGTTGAAACACAAACTGGCGAACCTCTGGATCCACAAAACCCAGGAGCTGTGATCCAACTGGCCTCCCTGTCACCACAATCGGATGCGGTCGTTTTCACAAGGGACAACAACATGTTCTTGCGCAAGCTGCACTCCAAAGAAGTCATCCAAATCACAAAGGACGGTGGAACTGAATTGTTCTATGGCATCCCCGATTGGGTATACGAAGAGGAGGTCTTCCAAGGCAACAGTGCAACATGGTGGTCTGAAGATGGCAAGTATATTGCCTTTCTGCGCACAGATGAATCAACCGTCCCGACGTACCCAGTCCAATATTTTTTGTCACGGCCCAGCGGAGAAAGGCCCAAGGCTGGCGAAGAAAACTATCCCGAAGTTCGCGACATCAAGTACCCCAAGGCTGGCGCACCAAACCCGATCGTATCGCTGCAATTCTATGACGTCGAAAAGGGCGAGGTATTCAGTGTCAAGATTGAGGACGATTTCCAAGATGATAACAGGCTAATTACCGAGATCATTTGGGCGGGCAAGACAAAGCAGGTACTTGTTCGGGAAACGAACCGTGAGAGCGATATCCTCAAGCTAGTGTTGATGGACGTCGGGCAACGTACTGGGAAAACTATCAGGACCGAGAATGTTGCGGAACTAGATGGAGGATGGTTCGAGGTTTCGCAAAAAACTACCTTTGTGCCAGCAGATCCCGACAACGGTCGCGAACACGATGGGTACATCGACACTGTCATTCATGAGGGCTATGATCACATTGGGTACTTTGCACCTTTGGACAGCGATAAGCCTGTGTTGCTCACCCAGGGCGAATGGGAAGTTGTCGAGGCACCGTCGCGAGTGGATTTGAAGAACAATCTGGTCTACTACATATCCACTGAGAAAGGCTCTACAGAGCGGCATGCATACTCTGTGTATCTGAATGGCACCGGAAAGAGTGAAGTTGTAGAGAATAGCGGTTCAGGGTACTACGACGCATCATTCTCAGCTGGTGGTTCATATGCCTTGATCTCATACAAAGGTCCCGGAATTCCATGGCAGAAAATCATCAGCACATCAGCAAACAAGGAGAAATACGAAAAGACCATCGAAGAAAACAAAGGCCTTGATCGCTTAGTGCGCCAGCTTGAGTTGCCAATTCTCAACTACCAGACAATCGACGTTGACGGTTTCAAACTCAACGTTCTCGAACGCCGCCCGCCACACTTTGACGAAAAGAAGAAATACCCTGTGTTGTTCTACCAATACAGTGGTCCAGGCTCGCAGGAAGTGAACAAGCGGTTCAAGGTTGATTTCCAATCCTACATTGCCGCAAGTCTCGGATACATTGTTGTCACTGTAGACGGACGCGGTACAGGTTTCCTCGGTCGCAAGCTGCGCTGCATCACTCGAGGAAATCTTGGATACTACGAAGCGCACGACCAGATTGCAGCGGCCAAGATTTGGGCGAGCAAAAAGTATGTTGATGCCGATAGATTGGCTATATGGGGTTGGAGTTACGGAGGTTTCAACACTCTCAAGACCCTTGAGCAGGATGGAGGAGAGACGTTCAAGTACGGAATGGCCGTTGCGCCTGTTACTGACTGGCACTTCTACGACTCCGTCTACACGGAGCGCTATATGCACACGCCCCAGAACAACCCCGAAGGCTACGAAAACTCGACCATTACTGATGTGAGATCGCTCGCGAAGAATGTCCGATTTCTTGTCATGCACGGTGTTGCCGATGACAACGTGCACATGCAGAACACACTTACTCTACTGGACCGGTTGGATCTTGCGGGCATTGAAAACTACGACGTCCATGTGTTCCCAGACTCGGACCATAGCATCTACTTCCATAACGCTAACAAGATTGTCTATGACAGTAAGTGATTTTCTCGGTTATGTGAGAGTTAATGCTGACGAAGATACAGAATTGAAATGGTGGCTTATCAATGCTTTCAATGGCGAATGGTCAAGAATTGCAAATGCAAGTCCAAAGGCACAGATTGATGCCAAGTCGGTAGAAAAGTAGAAAGTGCTTTTGGTAATGGGCGTTCTGGAGTGTCGCAGTTAGCCATTGTACATGTTCAGTATTACGCAATGAAGATCATGTGTCTTGAATGAGATGGCCAAGCTTGTGAGAGTTTGTATAAATTCTGACAAATGTACGGATTCGTGGTCTAGTACGCTCCAATTTGTCACCCAGTACCGTATTCTTTACCTTTAGGCATCCACGGTAGGCCTCTAAGGCTAGGCCCAATTCTGCAGTCACGAAGCCCATGGAACGAATACACCAGCTTCAGGGTCCAAAACTTTGTCATCATCGATGTGCCTTGAGACTAGGTTGAGCTCTAGAAGCTAACCCCCTCATTGAACCCCACTTTTGGTAGTTGGATAAAAGAGCAACCATTACACCCTTGACAGATGACATGTGCCTATTATCACGCGACTCTTTACATTTACATTACACAATCATACAACAACTCTCAGATTACACAAGATGAAGTTCTCACCAAGCGACCTAGCCATCTGCGAAACATGCGGAACACAATACGACGTTCCGCTGTCGCAGCATCCTGAAACATGCCGCATGTGCGATGTACGTCATACCAGTGTTTACCAATCAACCCTTTACTAGTTCCTCAAACCCCAAAAAGGTCAACCCCAAGAATGATATGTAAAACCTAACACGCCATAGGACCCCCGTCAATACGTCCCAGCCTCCGGCCAATCCTGGACCAATCTCGCCAGCAACCAAGAGACCCAGAAGAATGTATTCGAAACCGACACCAAGGATGCCCGAATCCACTACATTAGCACTAAACCTCTAACCCCTTCGGAACTCCCCGCAGGCCTCGCGGACTCTAGTACTACTCGCAAGCAACTAGGCATCGGACAACGCGCCATCTTGCTCCAGACAAGCCAGGGTAACGTGCTCTGGGACTGTATTGCACTACTGAACCAGGAGACGATCGACTTTATCAATTCAAAAGGCGGGCTCAAAGCGATTGTAATTAGCCACCCGCACTTCTACACAACGCACCTCGAATGGGCAGATGCATTTGGGTGTCCAGTGTACATATGCCGCGACGACGCTGAATGGCTTAACCGCGAGGACAAGCGCGGTGTTCGGAAGCTGGTGAGCGGTGTCACGCCGATTGAAGAGGTGGGCGGAGAGGTTAAGATGGTACAGTGCGGTGGTCATTTCGATGGGAGTTCGGTTGCGCATTGGGAAGGGAAGTTGTTCATTGCTGATACGTTTATGAGTGTGCCTGTAAGCCCCCCCCCCTTTCCCACCCAGGTTAAACTGATTGTTGATCAAAATACCATAGTCTGGCTTCAGCAATGCACGCCGTATCCCGGACACAACCTCCTACTCTTTCATGTGGGCGTATCCAAATATGATCCCTCTACCTCCACCTGCTGTCCTGGCCATCTGGAAGGCGCTCAAGCCGTTTGAGTTTGATAGCACGTATGGGGGTTTTGCAGGGCAGAATCTGAGTAACCCGGATTTGAAGGCGCAGGTGTTGCAGAGTATGAAGATTTTCCTGAGGAGGGGTGGACATGAGGGGGCGGAGATTTTTAAGGAGAGTTTGTAGGTTTCGTAGGGGAAGTGATGGGAGATGAG